TTTTTTAAGGAAGAAAGCCTTGGACATCCTGCGTCAGCGTTTTGAGTTTAAAGCTCTTTCGTTTCACGGGACAGTATATCTGTGTGTCCTTGTTCCGGCCAAAGCGAGGTTACCTTTTCCAGGAGGCGGGAGTGGCACAGCCAGCTCCCTGGGGAAATTCGATCCCAACTTAGCCCTGCGGGCACGGAAAGGGAGGGAGTTTTTCCTGCTAGTGCGGAGTCGGGTGAGCAACGGGGCGTGAACCGCTCACCTGTGGTGTACACTCGGTTATCAGTATTGATGTTGTTCCTGCTCGTTTTTCTTATTTCAGTGCTGTTTGTAGTTTATTGTTCTCATCTCGTCCTGTAATGCTTAACGTTTTTGTGCCTTCAATTCTCTTCTCCATCCTGCCATGGAGGGGGGGATGGGAGAAAGAGGGGGAAGAGCAGCGAGGTCTGGCGTGTTTCAGTGAAAACAGTAAATTGCAGAATACCATCCTTAAAGCACGACAGTGTCATAATGGTGGGAAAGTGTCATGCAGTGTAAAGCTGTGTTTCCGTTCAGATTTTCACAGGGCTTTTTTGGTTTTATTTAGTCAAACAGCGAGTTCTTGAGAGACAGTCTCATCAGCTGCATTTGGAAGGAGAAGGAAAATTGAGGTTGATTGTCACAGAGCCTGAAACATCACAAGCTACTGAAGAGAAGACACCTGAAGAAAAATCAGTTTCCACTAAGGTGAATAAAAATTGTAATCTTAACCAGAGTTTTGAAATAGTGGTGAGAGTGTCTAATCTGTCACTGATATTTGGCTTTATTTTATTTTAGGCTTTGGATGCCATGAGCAGCCTTCAAAAAAAAGGTAAAATGTTATCCATCACTCTATGTGCTGATTCTTCATAAAACAAAAGTGTTGGTGCTTTTCTCCATACATGGCTTCCAGTTCTCCACGTTGTCATCTATTTTGTAGTTATACTAGCGAGGAACCTGGAAATCTTCAGATCCTGCTCCCAATTGCTTTATTGGGTCAGCCTAGCTTTCGGTTTTGGCTTTTTGGTATTTTCTTCATTGGACAGAGTGGAGGATATGACACCTTCAGCAGTCTAGAAATTAGTAGCCAGCATCAGAAAAACTGTTGCTTCTTATTTCTTTAGTTTTCTTCTTGTTTGTGGTGGTAGGCCTTCAAAGGCAGTTGTCTTCTGGAAATGTTATGGGTTTGGTATCAATAGTTTTTGTACCTTGGTGAGCAGGCAGAGCCAGCCTGTTGGTCATTCCAGTTTGGAGGTTCTCTCACACCTCCGCCCTCATCTGTCTGCAAACGTGGTGACATGCTTGCCTCTGGCAGACACTGAGTCTGGGATACTCAGTGGGCACCTCTGATCTATTTTCTATTTGCAAAATGTTCTTGCATCCCTGTCAGCCCTTTGTGCACATGGACCCTCCACCACTGTCATGCTGCACTAATGGCAGGGCACAGTGGTCATCAAGAGGCTTTACATCAAGTCACACAAAGCTACTTGTGTCCTGTGTTGGTTGTTTTGCCTGCACAGGACTAAGAAACAGATGCAGAGGCTGCAAGGTCTCTCCCAACCCTCACCGACATCTGAGCAGCTGTGGCCTGTTATCTCAATGGATTTTAGTTTTGTTTAGTCTCTGACCAGAGACATACCAGTGACATTGGACATGTTTACTCAGCTCTGTTTTTGTGCCACCAAAAAATGTTGCCTGCAGCCCTGCAGAATACTGCATCTGGGCTGTTTTGGATCTCAAAATGTTCAGCAGTATCCTGCAGTATTTGTTTGGTTAACAATTTCTTTCCTTGGGAAAGGAAAGGAGAGAAAGGGTAAGAAGAATATGTTTATTCCAGGCAATGTGTACCAACATTTTATGTGGCTTATGTTTCTGCTGCAGATGATACAGAAGCTTTGAAGAAAGCTGGGAGTTCTGTTCCAAACAGCGAACTCCAGAAGGGGGTTGACTCTGCAGAGGCCTCACCTTTGGTGGTATTTGAGAACATAGAGAGATGCAGTCCATACTGCTTACAGATGCTGTTGGAGAACATCAGTGGCCTGACTGTGGATGCTGACTTTACTGTTGAACTGATACCTGAAATAAATGTTGCTGTAGTTACATTTATAAAAAATATTGGTAAGACAGGATGACACCATTATTAATTTCCATGTATAAGCATGAGGAATAGCTTTCAGTGCTTGATTCCTCTCCCATTAGAGATCCAGACTGTTTTAAAAAAGCACCTGGATTGCAGTCTCTTAAGAAAAGTCTTATATGCAGCCTCAGAAAAAGTGCCTGTGATCCAAATGTGACACTGAAAAAATCTTTATTAGTTGAAATTGGATTAGAATGTTTTGTTGTTTCTATCTTATTTTGGATTAGATGAAGAAGAATTAAAAGTGCACAGAGTGTGGGGTTTATATAAAGTGTCCTTTAGAGAAAACAGTATACTTATGAGATGGGAACAGAGACACGGTGATAGTGAATAGCAGAGAGTAATATGGTTGTTTGCTTTTCCCCCTTTTTATTACAACACACAGTTATTTGGCAGCAGAGACAACTTTCCAAATACAAAATAGGGAGTAGACTCTGCTCATTTCTCTGCCTGAAGTGATAACCAGAGCTGATAATGAAAACATAGTCAATTCATACTGCTCTTCTGTTTACAGATACTAAGGAATTTGTCAAAAAATGTTCACAACACAAGAGAGTCAAAGAATTCAAAATGACTGCCTGGCTTCTTGAATCAACACAGAGCATCAAGGCTGAAAACCTACCAGAGAGCATTTCCACAGACTACCTCACAGTGTACTTCGAGAGCACACGGAACGGAGGTGGGCCTGTCTCAGATGTCCAGCTCTTCCCCGAGGAGAACTCAGCCATCGTTACATTCTGCGACCACAAAGGTAACTCTGTCCTTTGCATGACCAAGGCACTCACAGGCAGATAACCTGAAAGAAATTTACTGAAAATGTGGGCATTAGGAGAAGCCTGGCTTTCTGTTGCTGAAGTCAGTGTACATTGTCCTGTTCCTAGGAAGTGCTCTGGTTGTAGAGATACTGCTGCATGTCTAGGGCTTCAGTATCTAGGTGGGTTTTTTTGTTTTGTTTGTTTGTTTTGTGTTTTTTTTACCAGAGATTTATTTTTAATATCTTTCTTGTTCATGCGTTTTTCTCAATGGTGTTCTTTCTCCATTCGCAGAGGTTTTTATATGCAATATAAAATTAATGGCACTTAGAGGTAGATGGACAGAGCAGAATCTGTCAATGACTTCAGCCTGCACAGTTAACTTTCAGAAACCAAATAAGGTCAAATATCCTCATTTCAAGCTAATTAAGTCAATTATCAGGGAAGAACAGAGCTAAAGAACAATCTTGTTACTATTTCTTGTGTTCCTTGAATCGCTGTCCAGTTTTTGTGCCAGTGCAACTTCTGGTAAATATCTGTTGGGAAACTCCTGGCTTAGTAAATTTACTTTGAGAAAAAGGTTTATCTGCCAGGTGAATTTCGTATGACTCTCAGGATTTTCTGAAGAATGTTTTGTACGTGAAGTTAAAATGTAATTTGGATTATTGTAATGGGGTTTTAAGTTCCTGCCAACATTATAATTTCTTTGCTTTTTCCATTCCAACAAAAATGGCAAAAAAAAAAAAAAAAAAAAAAGTAAAAATACACTGACACTAGGAGTTTTACTTTAAGTTGAGGGTAAGGAGTATTTCATAGTAGTATATTGATAAGGCCTTGCTCTTCGGTGGAGTTTCCTTGGGAAATGAGCAAGGTTTCCCTCTGCATGGGAATGCAGGCATGAGTATATTTACCAAACAAGTTGAAGACAAGGCTTTTATCTTATCCCCTACAGAGTAGTTTGGAAATCAGAAAGACATAAAAGCAGCTCTTTGAGATGAAAGAAAAAGAAAAGGAAAATCACTGTAACAGTTCTAAGAACATTTTCCTGATTTGAAGTTAATGATATATGCTTGTTTGTACATATGTGCACTGACTTTCAGATCTAACAACGGTCTTGGAAAAGCAACATTTACTGGAACAGACAGTGATTTCTGTGCATCCATATTACCACTCCCTGGGAACAGCTCTCTATGGAGAAGCAAGACCAGCTGTCAAGATGCCAGACCCCTTTGGGGTGCCACTAGACCCATATGTATGGCAGTTTTTGCAAAGGCATGCCAATCTCACCCAAGACATAAACCAGGAAATGGCAGTTTGCCATTCTGAGCTCAAATGGCCCCAAGCAGACTGTTCAAACCCAGAAGTTATGTTGTGTCCATCACCATCTCTATACAAGCAGAAAAAGCCAATGGTTAAGTTGCTCAAGACATGGCAGCAAGATGCTTCCACTGAGTTCTCGCGTATCATGGCACGCTATGTAGCTATAAAATGTAAAGTCAATTCATCAGGTTGGGAAGATGTGAAAAAAGGGTTATTGAAAGATGCTGCTCTGATCATAACTGATATTTCTGAGGAGATGGTGGTGATTGCAGGCAAAAGAGCAGCAGTGGACAGTGCAGAGAAAGAAGTGAGGGAATGCATGAAGCAAAGTGAAAGGGAAAAACAGAGCATAGAAATTTCTGTGTCAGTGATCCCAGGGAAGTATGTTGTGCTGCACAATGCTGGGTTAGAAGAGAATATTCAGAAAGAATATCCATGCCTAAAGCTCTTTTATGATGACAAAAAAAAGACTGTTCAGTTGTGTGGATTACCTGCAGAAGTATATAAAATCAAAGCTGAGTTACTGGAAAGGGTATTGAGTATGCCATGTACATCAGTTACCATTGACCCCCATGTTTTGCACTATCTACAGTGTGTAGATAATAAAAAAACATCAGATATGTTATTCATTAGGGAAAACATCAATGCTTTTTATGAACTTCATGAACTTCAGGATGATACTGTGTTGTTATATGGAGATGCTCGCAAAGATCTTCTAAAAGCAGAAAAGCAAATAAAAACAGGGTTAGAATACAAATGCATTAATATGGAGGATGGTGAAATCACTGAAAGGGATCAGTGGAGGAGTCTTCTTTTCTCCTTGCTCAAGACATATAATTCTTCCCAGGAAATGGTCATCAATTGGCAGTCTGTTGGAAAAGAAAAGAAAATGATTATTGCTGGCTTCTCTAAGGCTGTAACAGAGGTTTATCAGAGACTTAATGATTTTGTAGATAGAAACACAATCATTGAAAAAGTAATCCCAGCTAATTCAGAGGTGATAGTGCAGTTTGTAGAGAATAAGGAGTCTGGGGTTTGTGAAGAATTGAAGACGAAAGGTGTGACAATACGTTTTGACACCAAGACACCATGTGTTTCCCTGAGGGGACCAAAAGCAGAAGTCCTAGAAGCCTTCATCATGTTTGAAAAAATTGTCTCATCCCTTTACTCAAAAAATGTGCCAATTGATAAACCAGGGGCAAAGGAGTTCTTCACTGAGAGGAAAGATTTATGTATTTTAGAAGCAAAGCAGAAATTTAGCTGTCTCATTAGAATTAAGGAAGAAGAAGAACAGAAGGGTGGAAAAGATGGTGATAAAGTGAAAAGAGAAGTCTACTATGATAAAAAACTGCCAGGTGGAATAATGGTTGGAGTGTATAAAGGTAACTTGTGTCACTACCCTGTTGATGTTGTGGTTAATGCATCTAATGAAAAACTAAAACACATTGGGGGCCTGGCTGATGCACTGTCAAGAGCAGCTGGGCCAGTGCTGCAGGAGGAGTGTGATGAGCTGGTGAGGAAGCTCGGGAATTTGCAGCCCGGCTGCGCAGTGATCACACACGCTGGGAAACTGCCCTGCAAGAACGTCATTCACGCTGTCGGACCCAGGTGGAACGAGAAGGAATCACAAAAGTGCATGTGGTTGTTGAGAAAGACAGTGAGAAAATGTCTACAACTAGCTGAGATATACAATCATCGTTCCATAGCTCTGCCTGCTATTAGTGGAGGGATTTATGGCTTTCCACCACAGATCTGTGCAGAGTCAATTGTGTCCTCCATTAAGGAGACCTTGGAAGGATTCACGGAGGAGAGAAGCTTGAAGGAGGTCCATCTTGTCAGCAATTCAGACGAAATGGTTCAGGTTCTGAATGAGACAGTAAAAAAAGTATTTTCAGCTAAATCATTCTCCCCAAAATGGATGATGCCAAAAAAAAGCCAGAAGGAAAATAGAAAAGGGGATCTGAAGATGGTTACAACAAATGAAGGACTTTGCATCCTAGTGGAGAAGAAAAATATTCAGGAAGCCATGGTAAGTCTTCACTTTTCTGACTCCTTTCAAACTGGATGGTCAGATCTTTCAATTTAAATTAAAAAGTACAGACAGGTTTTGCAAGTACTTGCTACATAAGGAAAGAACAGCTGTGTGCTAGCTAAACAAGGATGCAAGCTTGCAGAACTTGAGAGTAGGTTGAGATCTGTCACTGCAGCCATTTCTAGAGGGTAGCTGTGAATTTCAGGATGTTTCAATTCCCAGCTAGTTCTTGTTTGTTTTCCAGATCTAAGGCAAACATGTCAAAGAGTTTGCTTTTTTTTTCCTTAAGGGGAAATACTGAAGTACTTTGTAAAAGTAACTATTTTGCTTGGATATTAGGGGAAATGGGTCTGGGCTGCTGTAATGGGTATCCACTGGCATCTTGTTTCTTCTGCTGTGTGTTGCATTGGTAGGGCTTTTAATCTTGGTGCATATTTTTGTTTGACTTCTAGCTGTAGCTATTTTCATTGTAATCTCGTTGCAGACGGATGTTGTTGTCAACAGCGTTGGCACAGATCTGCAGTTTGGCGAGGGGCCTCTTTGCAAAGCCATGCTGGAAAGAGCTGGGACAGCTCTCAAAGATGAGTTTGACACCAAGAAACAAAGTCAGGTTCTTGGTCCTGGAAGTGTGGTCTGCACCAGTGGGTGTGCTATGGCCTGCAAGTCCATCTTTCATGCCGTACTACCCAAGTGGAGTGGAGGACAGACAGACAAGGTATATTTTAATTATTAACCTCCCATCCACCCCAGCTACATATTTATTTGGGATCTGTCCTGGAATTTCGGGTTTAAATATAGTTAATTTAGGTGACTTGACTCCATTTTCTTCCATTGGAGTGACCTTAAAGATGCCTTGATGCACTCAGAGCTGCTTATCATACCAGCTTCTTTGGAACTAATAATAAATTATGCCTTTAGGAAAAAAAGTACTTTTGCCATGTTTTACAGGACCTAGAAGATGCAATCAATTTCTGCTTGAAGAAAACTGAAGAACTTGGACTAAAATCAATCACTTTCCCAGCTATTGGGACTGGAGGATTTGGATTTCCTAAAATCTTTGTTTCTAAGTTAATGTTTGACTTGGTATTCAAGTTCAGTAGTAGTCACACTCGGAAGAATCTCCAGGAAGTTCATTTCTTCTTGAATCCACAAGATACTGATAACATTCAGGTAGTTCTTCTCAGAACAAATCTGTCTTTGTAACATACTGTTTTAGTTACACTTTAATAATCTGTTTTACTTACACTGCTTTCTAAGGGAATAATTTGGCACTTTCTTACTGCTGTGGGCTGGTGACAGTGGGATGTCTTTCCAGTGTCTCTGAAATACAAACTCTCAGCAAGCAGAAGCTGCAGACAAAATTGTCCTTGCTGTTGGCACTGTAAAAGCCTGTAGATGCTCCCTCACCTTTTGCCAGAGGAGTTCTAGCGATGCGGAGCTATCTCTTACCACACTGTCCACACTGGGTCTTCCGCTGTTTTTAACACTTAGATATGACTTTAAAATGTGTGAGGTGTCTCAGCAAGAGCTACATGACTGTTAATGTTAATTACAGAAACATTCAGTGTACATACTGTGAACTGCTATCTTGGGTACTTTTTTTCTCCTCTTAGGCTTTTACCGCTGAACTAGAATTTAGGGCAGGTGGAAGTTGCGATGCCGCACCAGCACAGCCAAGTAAGTTGTGTAGGGGTGGGACAGAATGTAAATGCTGGAAACAAAAAAAATATCATCAGGGCACAGGGCATTTTTTTTCCTCCTAATGGACTTGCATTTTTAAGTATCATTTGTAAAATTCTTAGGGAGGAATTTCTTATGTTGAGATCATGCTGAACTCTCTCTCAGTGAGGCCAGACTTATCAAAACAAAAAGGGTGTTCTGATAAGTGACACAGTAGTTTGTGCTGCTCAAAGGATATGAGAACTTGCAATCACTTGGCCAAACAAGCCATAAATAACATGTATTTCTGTAGCTTTAATCTCTTACATATATATTTATATATACAGAGTGAATAATTTCCTCTCCATTTATTAATTTACAATAGTGGGACACAATAGCCAAAACGTGAGTGTACTGCATTCAAGGGTAGAGGCTTATTTGTAAGGATATAAAGCACCTTCTCTTCAGTTGCTGAGTATCAGAGAGATGAAGTTAAGAGTGGGCAGATAAAATATCAGCTAGGTTAGATAAGCTTAGACTAGAAGAAAGGAATAGTTTTGTATCCATGAATGTAAATATGACATAACTTACAAAAGGGATGTGATCTGATCTCCATTACTGGCAACACATAAGCCAGATGCTCCATTTCTTGTAAGAATTAATTCAGGAAGCTCTGTTACAGAGATGGTCAGATCAGATAAACCCTGAAGCCATTTTCTGAATTCATATTGCATAAATTTACAGGAATAGAAGTGGTTTCACTTTCACAGCACAAACAGGAAGAATACTGTACCTCTCAGCTTTCAGAAATGGAATGAAGAGAAAAACACACACTCTACATCCATCAAACTGATCTAGAGCATATTCCTTAACAGGATAAGGAGTTTCAATCAGTGGAAGAGAATAATACGCCAAACTAAAGGAGAAGTGATGTAATGTATTTTTCTTTCCTTTGCAGGTTTCATTAGGCCTGTTTCTGCTGAACTATTGGGAGTTCATGAAATGAAGATTGGTTCCATCACACTCCAAGTAATTAGTGGAGATATTACCAAGGAAGATACAGAGGTTATTGTAAACATATCAAATCCATCATTTGATGCCAAAACAGGTATTATAGTGAACGTGTAGTTCTTTAGCAATAAATCTGGGCTAGTTTTTAGAAGAGGGCACAGGAAAGAATTGTCCACAAGGGAAACTTTTATGAAGCATTTTTTAGATGAGAGATACAGGGTTGTGATTAGCCAGGAAATAGATCTTAAACAGGATTTTTACATGTCGTGAGCATTTGATTTAGTTTTAAAACAGAAGGCATCTGACCATATTTTTTTTTGCTTAAAACCAAAAGTGTTTAAATAGGATTTTTAGATTAAGTATAATTCTGAAAAAATGCTTTTATCCTAAATGTTTCACTGTAAGACAAAGCTCTGGTTAAGTAAATTGCCCTATAAGAAGCAGAGGGCTTTGACATTTTGAATTACAAGCATGCAAGATACCAAATGATGTAGTTCAAAGCCATTGGAGAGTTTGGTGAGGGGCATATGGGTTTGGTGAATGAAACAATGAAATAGGTGGTGTTCTTAATGACTTCTAATCAGCAGTGAAGGAAACGTTCTCTCTGCAGCCAAAGCAGTGTGTCAGTACTTTGGGAAACTGTCACAATTGTGAACTTTGTAGTATCTTGCCAAACAGGAATTCAGGGTATGCATATGGTACAGAAGTTGTGTAGAGTTTTGAGCAGAGATATTGAGGAGACTTAATGAATGTGTGTGCTTTTCTTGTGTGATTTAAGGGGTCTTCAAAGCAATTATGGATGCTGCTGGTTCCCAGGTAGCACAAGAGTGTGCTCTAAATGGTATGTTAAAGCATACTATTTTTTGATAATTCTTTTTTTTTGTTGTCATTCTCTCTGAAAACTTAAAGTTGCTTTATAATTCTCTACTCTGACATAATTATTTTATCTGACTAACAAAGCTTTCACTTTTAGGAACTTCAAAAAGTCCCCTTCTTGTTTTGACTTATACCTTCAGAATTGTTCTTTTCATAGTTGTTTAGTAACAACTAAAACATCTGTATGTTATACACTTTATTCTCATACTGGATCCAAAACACAGGCCTGTACTGGCTACTAAGAGGAAAATTAACTCTATCCCAGCTGAAATCAGGACAACCCTGATCATAAGTTCTTCCATAGTCTGCATTCTGCCAGACCAGTAGGGTAGTAAAATTTGAGCTCTTTATGGTTGGTCTCTACAAGCACAGAAAGGGACATTTTAGATGGATAACCTAAATGTGCCTGCTCTGAGTCTGGAAATTGATTTTCAGGATGGAGTTTCCTGGATTTTTTTCCTAGCCTTTGGCTCTGTGAGAACATTTGTACAAACACACATATATCATTAACTTCAAATCAGGCAAATGTTTCTGTTCTTAGAACTATTACACTGATTCTTCTTTTCTTTTTGTTTCATTTCAAAGAGCTAGTTTTATATCTTTCTGATTTACAAAGTACTCTGTAGGAGACAAGATAAAAGCCTTGTCTTCAACTTGTTTGGTAAATATGCTCATGCCTGCATTCCCATGCAGAGCTACACCCTGCTTGTTTCTCAAGGAAACTCCACCTCAGAGCAAGGCCTTACTAACGTACTACTGTGAAATACTCCTTACCCTCAACTTGAAATAAAGCCCTTAGTGTCAATGCAGTTTTACTTTTTTGTTGGAATGGACAAAGCAAAGAAATTATAATGTTGACAGGAGCTTAAAAGCATCTAAATTACTTTTTATCTTCATGTGCAAAATATTCTTCAGGAAATCCTGAGAGTTGTAAGAAAATCACCTGGCAAATAAAGCCATTTTCTCAAAGTAAATTTATCAATCTGATCTTAGTGCTTGCAGAGCACCTTACAGTCATTACCTTTGTTATCTGTGAGGTGGTCTGGAACTCTGTGCTCATCAGTCCATTGATCCTCACAATATGACTCCATTTTGTAATCAAACATGAGTGCTCTGAGAAGTCACAAACATATTTTTAAAAATTCCATACCATTCTTAAATCAGCTGGTCATAATCTTAATGATATTATTTTAACCACTCAGCTCTGCTGCAGTATAAGAATTCAGGCTTTTAAGGAATAAGTGACATAAGAAGGGTTTTCACATATAAATTAATTTGGCATGCTTTTAAATAGAAGTGAGATGTATTGAAAGTCATCATCAATTCTTATATTGTACTTAATAGGAAAATACTTTGTAGCTGAGGTCTTCGGAAATTAGAAAATACACATTTACTTGGATTAATTTCTCAAAGAAACTCTGCAGATTATTTAAAAAGAAAACCAGAATCAAATAAACCCACAATAAAATAGCTCACAGTGGATTTCTTTCCACTTTTTCCGCTTGTAGTACCATTATAACAGAAAATACTACCAAAAGAGATTGCCACTTCGTAAATACTATGTCTCCTTCTTTATCTTCTCTCTTCCAGCTGGACAGTCTCAAAATGGCTTTATTACTACACAGGGTGGGAACCTGTTGTGCAGCAAAATCATCCATTTGATTACCAATAACCAGGTGAAGAGTCAGGTCTCCAAAGTGCTTCATGAGTGTGAACAAAGGATGTATAAATCTGTTGCCTTCCCAGCTATTGGAACAGGTTTGTGTTTTCTTGGGAAAACAACGTGTGATAGGGGTAGCTCAGAAGCAGACTTCATATGGGTAATAGTAGACTTGCACAAAAACTGTTCACTGATATGTGCCTTTTATTTTTGGTTAGGTCAGGCAGGACTGAGTTCAGCCAAGGTTGCTGATGAAATGTTGGATGCTATAGAGGAATTTGCAAGACAAAAATCAGTACAGCATTTACAGGCAATTAAGATTGTGATCTTCCAGACACATATGCTCACAGACTTCTATGAAAGCATGAAGAAAAGAGAAGATGCAGATACATCCACATCAGAATCGTGGTTATCTATGTTTAAATGTAAGTTGATTTCTGTGTGCATAGGCAAACAAAACTGAAGTTCTTTTATTTGCAACTAATAATTGACGTATTTATCCACAGCCTTTTTTTGGGGCAGAAAACAATCTTCTGAGAAGAAGAAGTCCCTGATTTTGGAAAAGAAAGTTAATTTAGTCACATTTCAAATTTGTGGAGAAAGTCAAGCAGAGGTGGATGCAGCTGAGTCCTGGATAAAAGATTTAATTTTAAAGGAGCAGTTTGAAAGCACTATTTCAGATGAGGCAATTGAAAATTTTGATGAGACACAATTTGCCATTTTGGAAGATCTCCAGAGAAGAACGCAAGTCACCATTGAGATTTTAAATAAGCTTTCTCCCCCTCAAATTAAAATTTCTGGTATTAGCAGGGATGTCTGTATCGTTTCTCTGCAAGTTCAAGATATGGTCCATCAAATTAAGTCTACTGAAGAAGAGCAATGCAAGGCAGAACTTCTTTATAACCTGGTAGAATGGAGGTATCTAGGAAGCCACGATAGCTTTGTTGCTTTTGATAAAATGACAAATATGAAGCTGGAGTATGCCAAAAGGGCTAAAAAACCACATCTGAAGATCAAAATAAAAAATAAGACCTACAAAGTGGATCTGAATACTCTAAATGCTACTGATGACCAAGGAAAAACTAAAATCCTTCAACGTGTGACAAAGGAAGAAGGTAAATGGTACTTTTGTAGAATAAAATATTGAGTAGTTATTATTGAATGATGATTTGGATAAATGCAAGCTCAGGTATCCAAAAGAAGTAAGTTATTCCTTAGCTTTTTTCCCTCTCTTTATTTTTTCCTCGGCCAGCAGTTTTGAGTTTCATAATCAGTGGGAAGTATGAGTGAAATCTGAACATCAGTTTTAAGTGCAAATATTATCTGCATATATGTGATTGGTGAGCACAGATTTCATGCTTAAGTCTTACAAAGGAAGTGGTATATGAAGAATACATAAAATTCTTCTTAAAGCTTGTTTTAGTTAGATATTGATATGGGGATAATCAGACAAAATGTAAAGCCTTTACAGTGTATTACAGAACCAGTGATGTTTGGAAGAGCAGGAGTGCTTGTTGAATGAAATATTGCAGAAGATGCTGTTCTCTTGGTCCCCTCTATGCACGTGGTTTGTAAGCAGTGCCTATGGAGCTGAGCTAGTTGTCTGTCATAACAATGCAACTTCTGTTTTGCAGATATGAAGTCAATAGAGCTCCCTAAGGAGTGGACAAACATGCAAAATGAACACATCAAAGTGGTGCAGCTCAAGCCATCACATTCTGAATATACAACAGTTGAGAAGATGTTTAAGACAACATGTCCCAGTTTTAACATAGAGAAGGTGATACCATATGGGGTGGGGAGGAGGGAAAATGTCAATACTTGGGCAAGAAACAATATACTTCCTAAATATTGCTTATAAGGTGTCTGCAACTCAATACACCTTTTGTATGTCAGCCTTCCCATCATTGTACAGGGTGAATATAAATCAAAACAAGTTTCCTAAGAGCTGTTCTGCCAATTCTGGCATCTAATGGTGCAAAACCAGTGACCATCAGTCTTCAGGCTGACTCTTTGTTCAATTAATGTGGTACTCTCTAGTTAATATGGTATTTCCAATTAGGAAATTCTTTATTGAAATGGAAGCATGAGCAAATGCATTCAGAATACAAAGAAAAATACAAAGTCCTTGCAGGCTGACATAAACCTTTGGGCTAATTTACAACTTCTCCTCTGTCATCCCAAAGCTTTTCAGGCTTAGCTGTCAGTTTTAACCAGTGTCAGTATTTGATTCTGCTTATTTAGAAGTCTGCAACACAATGCAGGGAGATTTAATTGCCAGGCAGAAGATGGAATTGTTCTGAACCAAGAGAAGAGATAAACAGTAAAAAATACAATCAAATCAGGAGTGAGAATAATGTGTTTAAAAGAATTTTCTTCCATCACGAGTTTCAGTGAGCATGGTCACGAAAATACACAAAGAGAACAGAATATTCATGTATTACAGAAAAAAATCAAGTAATGATATTATGGTTTTTTCTGTTAAAAATGGAAAACTGTTACAGAAATGCCTTTAAGATTATATTTGATGCAGAGACACTGCTTCCCCTTAAGCTATATCCACATTGTTGATATAGGGAGCCAGCAACATCCATCCTCCCACCAAGTGATTTTTATATAATCATTTCATATGGATTGCTAAGCTACACATTAGAGAAAGCAATTTTGACCTGTAAGCTTAGCTCTAGAGAGAAACTTTAACTCAACCTAATGCTATTGCTACACTCTGTCCTTTAGTGAGAAAATCATCATTAAAGATGATTAAGATGTATAGAAGGTATATTGCATTGTTGCCTCTAGCAGTGGTACAGCAGCCTGTCCTAGAAATGACAGTGCACAGCTACCATGGCTGCTGGGTACCTAGTATACTAGGCAAGACAAATGTATACCCAAAATTACTGAGCTTGAAACTCTCTTACGAGCTGCTTTGGTTTGTGATTTTTCAGGAGACCTGCATATCAGTTCCTCTCCCAAACCTCATGCTAACAGGACATAGTGAAAATTGCTGTAATTCTTTCAGTTTAATTTAATTTTAATGCTTTCCTGCCATGATTAAATTTCATCCCTACCCTATTTATCCCTAATATAAATATAGTCAATTTTGTAATTTTGCAGATTGAAAGAATACAAAATTGCATCCTCTGGCAGACATACCAATTAAAAAAAAAATTTATCTGTAAGAAGAACAAAAATTCAAATAATGAGAGGTTGCTATTTCATGGGACGGCTGCATCCTCACTGAGGTTGATTAACTCCTGTGGATTTAATCGTGGGTATGCTGGAAAGAATGGTGAGTCATTATCCAAATCAGTTCATTTCCTAGGCATGTATGAGTGCTACAGGGTGTCAACGTTATAGTGCTGTCAGCACAACAAGAAAGCTGAATGAAATTAAAGAACACAATAATAAACAACTCCTGAGATGAATCTGTATGGACAGAGCAGTTATCCTGTTCAGTTAATCACTTGTTGTTGGATGCCATCATGTAAAGGATATCAAAAAGAGTTTCCCTACTCTGAAATGAAGTCTGAGCAGCTTCTGGGAATTGTTTTGTATCATTTACCTGGAGAAAGGAACACTGTTCAACATCCTCAGCTGATGTAACAGCTACTAGCTGACAGTATCTCCTCTCCTCTTAGACAAAGACAAGTAGCAAAGTAGAAGTGCAGATACTTATCCTGTTGCTTTCAAAGATTAGGACAGTATAAGATCCCACATCCGTACCAGTTTTATGCTCACAAAATCTGTGAGATCCATTAGTTAATTCTTAGCCTTTAATAGTTGTTAGAGACAACTTAAATATTTTAGCATAAAGATATTCTGCAGTAGTTCAAAGCTTATTTTGTCCACTTCTACTACAGTAGTGTTATGTTTATTATTTGGCAGCACTCAAAGATGAAGGACAGGATCCAAAGAAGTGGAACGTGGACTGAATTGAGGTGCTAGTGGATTTTAGTGGCCATGTAATCTCACTTCAAAAGTCCTTAATTTTTGTTCTTAATGTTTTCCTCCTTAAGACAGAATTATACATGCCTAGGGTTGATTTGATCTTGAGGGAGCTGGGCAGCTTAACTCAGATCTAGTTGACACTTTGGTGTAGTCTGGATCCAAAAGACCTTGCTCTGTCTGGATCCTCTGGAGGTACTAACTCTGAGATTTTCATGAATAAATGAAGCCCAGCATGCATAAAATATATCAGGTTGTGCACAGGCAGGAATGGCAGCCACCACTTCTTTTTAAAACATGGCCAGAGGAGATGTAGTTTTGCTTTCCTGCTCTTTGGTAGTGTCAGGAGGTTGGATTTACTCAGGAAGCAAGAGCCCTAGATCCCCATGTCCTCTCTCTTCTTGGGTATTGACATCCACCTTTTCATGTCAGCTGTGATTAATGATTGGGGGGGCACACTTGCCTTTTGTCAGCCTGGGTAGCCAAGCAAAAGTATCCTAAGGTGAGGGCAGCCAGATAGGAAGGACGTGTCTGGCTTGAACAGCTTTTACCAATGTCAGAAAAAAGAAATCTGTCTTGAACAAAGACATGTGATTTCTCTTAACTTGTTGGGAAGTATGACTAGAAAACTGTAATTACAATTATACAGTCATTTTAAGTCCAAAAGTCTTAGAATTGCAATTTGATGGATTGCAGGCTAAACCTGCAAGAGAGGAGCCCTTTTCTCCATAGGAAAGGGAAGTCAAAACCTGGATGTTGATACTTACCTGCTGTCTGTGTGGGTTCATATTTGATTCTGACACAAAGGATTAGTACTAGAATTTTGTGTTTGAATTCTAACCACATTTATAGATTCTGCAAAATTAAAAAAAAAAAAAATTAGAGATTCTGAGGAGAATAAAAACACTAATTGTATTCGAAAATGTTGTCTTTCCTAACAGCTGCAGCCATTGGAGATGGAACCTACTTTGCTGTCGATGCATGGTATTCTGCTCAGAATACTTATTCCGTTCCAGATGTGAATGGTAGAAAACACATGTACTTGGCTCGGGTCCTGACTGGGCAGTACTGTACTGGGAGGGCAGGACTAAAGGCTCCACCACCAAGGAGCCAAACAGATCCTACTGACCTGTATGACAGTGTTGTTGATAACACGTTGAATCCAACAATGTTTGTCATATTTAATGACATTCAGGCATATCCACAATACCTTATTACTTTCAAATAGAATGATCTTAATAGTCTAGAAAATTTTAGTGCCTTTTACATTTAAGAATTTACAGAGTAATTTTTTATTCTTTTTTTGCATCTAGGTTTCTTTATCGATCTATCCATTAGATCTGTCTTCAAATTATCAACAGAAGGACTAACATAAGCAAATATTTTAGAGCATGCTATTTCAGTACTCACACCTCAAGTTCAGTTATGCAGAAATGTAGGCAAGAGCTGTGAGAACAGCTCTGACTTCTTCCTATGCAAGGCAGAGGGGAGTGGTAGGAGAGGAAGCTGCACTGCCTTACCTGTGGCCAGCAGGAAGAGGTGTGGTATAGGTCAGAGTACCTCTGCATGTTCCCGTTTTCAATAGTCACCTTAAAGCACCTTTTTGTGAGGGTTTATTTAAAATGTTCTATGCTGAGGGAATCTGAAAGGTCTTTTCCAATCAAAGTAGTGCTATGATTCTAAAGATCTAACCTACCAGCAGAATTTTCAGTCATCCTTAAGTATCCACTCAGCCTTGTTGGTGCTAAAAGTCTGGAAGAAAAAGAATGCCAAAATGAACATGTGCTTTGTATTTATTTTTTCAGCCCCCTTACCTACATGTCTGTTACCCTGGCATACTTTGGTTATTCCTTAGGTATAAATCACTGTATTCAAAGCCATTTCTTAGGTGAATTCTATGTAGTCCCCCCCATTACTTCCAGCTTCCACAGTCTTTTGCAACTTTCAAGACTGTAAAGAGGGACTTTAATTTTTTTTCTTTTCAATACTGAAGCATTAACCCTTCTGTAGAATCACCAATATACAGAGTCAACTACAGAGGCATAACTCAGTTTACATGCTTAAACAACTTGAAAATTTTTAAAGTTCTCTGAAAACTGTAAATAATAGCATTTTTATATCTTTGTGAGTAGCACTTTTAATCACATCATAACCTTAAAACTGCCAATCAAAAGCCACATATGCAAGTTTAATAAAAGTTGTTTCAAGCAGCTACAGTGTATTGCTGAGCTGCAACAGGAGCAAACTTCACCTAGAAGTGTTGCTTCATATTTGAATATGTTACAGTGATGCAATAACTACTTCGAAGACAAAATGGTTTTCTTGTACTGAGTGACATGACTTATGCGTACAAATTCCAGGGTGAAATTATTCTGCCTGAGTGAAAATAAAGACCTATTCTGCAAATAGCTGCCACTTAAAACTTTGTCATGATGTTCTCATTGCCTGCAAAGAGGAAAAGGCTTTACAGTATCTGAAGTTTGCAATATAAAAAATTCTGCTTTTCACAGAAGTTGCCCATGCAGCACTTAAGATGAATGTCCTGCATAAATTTCCATTTAAAGCAAAGCAGAGTTTTACCCCTCCCACTTTAATAGATTTTGTTCCCTGTGAAAAGGTGAAGCTTCCCAGAATTAGCATCTCCTTTCTCTGCTTTTTTGGGTACTTTTCTGTGTCGTGGAAACACTGCAGCAGCCAGAGCAACTCTGTTTAGCTGAAAGCACCAGACATCCACTGGCTTCTCTTATTCTTGTCACCAAGCAGCTTGGAGAGCCAGGACACACCACTTTCTATTAGTGTGGCCCTCTTCATACCTGAACATCTTGGAAAGCAGCAGGAGCTGCAAGATAAAGCTCCTCAAAAACCCAGTTAACTTATCACTGATGGTTGTGGTAAAAGTTTCTTCAGTCATTTCCATACTAGAAACTGGGGAATACTGTGTTTTGCAGCGTTTGTGGACTGAGAAGCTGGGAAAAGGCTGTGTTATGTATGAGAAATAAAATCCCAGTCACAAAAGGAACCGGGTGTGCTGTTTGACAGATGGCTGGATATGAACCAGCCCATGCCCAGATGGCCAAGAAGGCCAGTGCCGTCCTGGCTTGTATCAGCAATAGTGTGGCCACAGGACCAGAGCAGTGACTGACCTTGTGCTGGGCACTGATGGAGCATCTCAATTCCGTGCTTATTTTTGGGCCCATCACGACAATAAAGGTGCTGGAGCGTGTCCAGAGAAGGGAACAGAGCTGGGGAAGGTCGTCCTGGAGAAAAGGAGGGTCGGGGTGGGCCTTACGGCTCTCTACAACGCCCTGACAGGAGCTTGTAGCCAGGCAGGTTCTTCTCCCAGGTTACGAGCGACAGAATAAGAAGAAGTGGCCACAAGGGTTGAAATAGAACATTGGGAAAAATTCCTTCACAGAAAGGGTGGTCGAGCATTGGAGTGGGTTGCCGGGGGAGACGGTGGAAGCGTGCAAGAACCGTGTGGATGTGGCGCTGGGCGCACGGTTTAGCGGCGGCCTTGGCAGCGCCGCGTCCTCCACGCCGCCCGCCTCAGCGCCTGGCCCCGCCCCTCGCGGTGCCGCGCCCAATCAGAAGCGCTCTCTGCTGCCTTCCGCCCACTCCGCTCGCCCATTGGCGGAGGCTGCTCCTCCGGCGCTGCCTCCATGGCGACGCGGCGGACGGGCACTCCAAGATGGCCGCCGAGCCGGGCGGCGGGCGCAACCTGCCCACCCATTGCTGCCGCCCACCGCTTGCCGCCTTCACCGCCGGGCTCCTGCTGCTCCTGACGCTGCCTCCCTCCGCCTCCTCCTCCTGTGACCACCGCGTACCCAGCGGCGACCAGGTGGGGTGACCGAGGGTCTTCAGGCGGCTGCGAGGGGTGTTGAGAGGCTCCCTTGCTGGCCGCTCCCCCTGTGGGATCCGTCCCTTCTCGGTTTTCCCGGCCGGGCTGTGCCGGGTCTGGCCCCGCCGCCCCGGCTGTGGGTGCTAACGACGGCGGGCTGGAGCATCGCACTGCGGCAGGAAGGGTCGGGAAGGGCTGGAGGGGCTGACACCGCGCGGTGCTGCCGGGCAGGAGGAGCCGAAGGCCGCGGGTGCTGTGTCGGTCCGGGTGAGCTGCCTCATCCCGCCCGTGCCTCTCCCTGCCAGGTCGTCTATCAAGTTCCTCTAAAGGAAAATCACGTCTCGAAGAGAAACGTGGATCAACAGCTAAGAATTAAGATTGTCTATGACAGAAGCGTTGAGGAGTGAGTATAATCGTGTGGCAGATTTTTTTTTCCTATGGCTGAGAATGGAAACCTTGTGAACTAAAGCTCGTTTGTTTTGTTTTTTAAATGCAGTTTGCTGCCTGAGAAAAGACACCTTATAAAGGTATGTTATATTGGCTTCCTCTTTTTGTTTGTTTGTAACATAGATGAAATTAAGTTTAAGGCCAGTTTTACTAAAACCTTAAATGCCACCAATTTAGTATTCCTCTAGTCCAGAAAACCAAAGCATTGTGTATACATTATACCTTCATAAAAAATAATTCCAGAGCTCTGCTGCATGGTGTTTGCTATATCCCAAGGTGCTAAAGGATCAGTGAGAAATGTGTATATAATTTTTAAAAGCCTCTTTGGATTGTGCATTTTAATTAATACTGGTTTCCTTCCCATTTTCTCATTCCAGTAACATATGGGAATACTGAAACAAAGTATTTCATAAATATGTTCATAATAATTGAACTTGTTAGCGAGTCAGGCTTTCCCCTATTGAGCTATACTACAATATCTAGCAAGTTTCATGTAACTTGGTGGTTAATGCCTTTGGAGTGAAGTGTGTCTGCACTGCTACTGGGTGACTCTGATTTTTGTCCTTTTCAGAACAAACTCTTCCCACAAGCTATATCTTATTTGGAGAAGACATTTCAAGTGCGCAAATCTGCCGGTGCTATATTGCTAAGCAGGTGTGTGGAAGTCTGCTGAAAATCACTTGCTATATTTGATATTTAACACTGTGCTGCATAGCCTTTAAGAGAAGATTAGAGTGTAAGGAGCGCCCTGCTGAATCAGATCAGTGACCCATCTGATCCAGTGGCAGTGCCAATCTTCCAAGAGCAACACCTGCATTTGTTGTATCAGAGGTATTCAAAGCTATACATGCTGCCAGTTCTCTTTTATGTGTACTCCCATTTATGAACTTGGTTCTAATCTCTCTTTGAGCCTGTGGATGCTCCAGTAACAACTGGAAGCATTATGTCTTCTCTGGTGAGGTAATTAACAATTTTCACTGTGGACATTATATCAAGTACCAACAGAGTGCTGTAAGACTATTCTATAGTTCTCCTTTAATAATAAAAGTATTGACTGTCTGATGTTTCATTGAAGGCAATGTGTGACAAACCAATATTTAAGGAGGAAAGCTGATCCCCACAGATATTGCCAAAAAGCCTGTGCAGACCATACAAGGTGTGGGCCAGTTATAGTTCCTGAGAAACACCTCCAGGTAAGCTCAGCTGTCCAAGTTTTTCTTAATCTTTGAAATATTACTGTTTACGGTAATTAATGAAAAAGTGAACATTGGTAATTGTGCATAAGTGACATGTTTGCTGGAGATCACTAAGTCTGAATGAAAGAACAGAAAAACTTAACTGAGTGTGAGTTTCTGTAGTTTACATTGCTGAATCCAAACTCAAATAAAAAAACTGGAATTGGTTACTGTCTTCTGAGCCTGTGTTCTAATGGCCTGTACTGAGAGGATTAGATTTGGAGATTGTTAAATTGCCATTAGTCACTTTGTTATTCAACTTGCTCAATGAGTTGGAATTTCACAGAGTTAATAGTTGGTTTTTGAAGACCTTGTTTGAAAGGTGATTCACTGACTGAGGAGCATGGTGCAAGAAATGCTTCAGACTTGTTTTTTTTCTTGATTCAACTACAGTATGTGATCAATAGATTTCTGGTTTTCTTTCTTTAACTTGGAAGTTTCAAGTGTATCATTAAAAACATAGATTACATGAGAAATGCTATTGCTACTTATGTATATTGGTTTTGTGGGCCAAAATTTTTTTTTTCATTTATAGGAAACAGAGGGTGCTAATTCTGGGAAGCTTGACAGGCTTTTTTTGTTTGTTTTTTTTAAAGCTGCCACCTTCCTCGTGTCTAATAAATCATAAGAGCTAGTCATTTGAAAGTTATTCCTTGGTTTTGGTTTTGTTTGCTGTTCTTCACAGGGTGTTTTCTTATCTTCTGCTGTCTCACAGTAGGATTTATTGTTGACTTTAAGCTAATTGAATTGTGTTATGCAAATTTTGGTCATAAGTGAAGTATTTTAATTGTTCCCTTTGACCACTGTAAGCAATGCAGGGTGTACAATGACAGTGACTGGCACCGAAGGCCCATGGGCTCACCCGAACAGGAAGGGGTTCGAGATGCTGACTTTGTGCTCTACGTTAGTGCTCTCACTACTGACAGGTGTGGCCATGAAAATATCATTGCATATGCAGCCTACTGCCAACTGGAAGCTGAAATGGACAGGCAAGTATTCCCTCTGTTGCAAACTCTCTTTTTAATTAAATTTTCAAGTTTTTTGATTGTTCAGATGTGGAATTTAATTGTTTGCCTTTGCTGTATAACCAAGTAGGCGCCATCATGGACAAGCACTGCATTTATGTAGAATCACAAACCCATCAAATAGTGTTTAACTTGCAAAGTTGAGGTACAGGACTCAAAGCTGATCCTCCACTGTTAATACCTGAACTTTTTCTCAAGATCCTCTTTCTCTTAGGATGAATGTCATGATTTCACAAACTTAAAGAATGCAAGTTCCTGCTTATATTTTGTTTCCATTTCAGTTTTAGTCACTGTCACAGTCTTTGTACCTCCCTAGGATCTTACCTAAAATTCAGGTCCCTTGCACTATTGTCACTGACACCTATGTAGAATACTGAATATAGAGATTGACTGACCCCATCCCACCCCTCCCCATCTCAACAGTAAACTCGTCACTGTGGCGTTAACAGATATTTATAGATTATTGGGAGGGGCATATTTTTACATTAGTCTGTATCTTCTTTAAATCTTCTGCTGCTTCAAAGTGAATAATGATTTGAATTTTGTAGTATTTTACCAAAAAACATTTAACTTTAAAACTGTCTTCCAGGCCAATAGCAGGATATGCTAACTTGTGTCCAAACATGATTTCAACGCAAGCTCAGGAATTTGTTGGCATGTTGTCTACAGTGAAGCATGAGATAATCCATGCATTGGTAAGGGTTGATAAAGCATTACCCTGAAATGGGTGCCTTCTTGCTCACATGCCTCCAGCTTGTTGCCAAGAGAAGGATGTTTGGTGGAGGAAAGCTCTTGCTTTGCCTCCTTCAATTTGTGTTAATAGCCTAGGCATGTTGTACTTCCAGTGTGTCTCTGGTGGGTGTGGGGACTCTTTCACGGTGTTTGTATATGAATGTCTTACCAAAGGTTTCTATGTGCTTGTTTTTTGACTTGAAGGGTTTCTCTGCTGGATTGTTTGCATTTTATCGTGATGATGATGGAAAACCTTTGACACCAAGATATGCAGATGGACTTCCTCCTTTTAATGAGAGGTATGTTTTTGGACCTCTTGGTACTACCACTGAAGGATGTTTCCATGTTGCTTTTTTTGGATGTATTCTTGCCTGTTAAAAATCCAAGTTCATTCCGTTATTAGAGTGACTTTCCTTTATAATGTTCAAACAGTGGTGTGTGGTGACTCTCTAGTCTTTATTTATATAGAATTATTAAAATCTTTATTGTTACATTACCATTAAGCACTTATATTATCCACATATACTATAAACTAATACAGGATTTCATTCATCAGAAGGCTGGAAGTTAAGCCTTAACATTATCCATACTGTCTAATGTCAGTGCAGATCATTTTAAAGCTTTATAGTTATGCAGAATGGGCAATGTTTGTAATCTGCTATGTGAATTTTCTGATTTGCTGCAGAATGAGCAGTTTGCATTCTTTTTTAGTTGGTATTGTAGGTCTTCTTCTAGGAGGTGGAAGGGTAGAGGTTTTTTTTTACAATAGCAATACTGAGGGGTTTTATTTAATTTCTTACATTTTTGGTAAATGTAGAAAATGCACCTTGAGTCTATAACTAATCTTACTTTGCCTTGTTAAATCAGTTGTGTGTACAATAAACACATCTTTAAAAGGAGAAATGCTGCATAATGAAATTCTTAAATGGAGAAAGCATGAGGGAGTATAGAGATTGTCCATGATTCTGTTTCTTATGGAGATAAATCTTTGCACAGTAACATGTTTTTGTGGGAAGGACTTGTAACCAAACCTTCTCCTTACAGCCTAGGTTTGTATCAGTGGAGCAATAAAGTTGTTCATAAAGCAGTGAGGCTGTGGGACATACGTGGTGGCAAAATGCTGCGCCATGCTGTTCATCTTATGGTGACACCACGGGTAGTCGTAAGTGTGCATTACCTTTCCAGCTTTGTATGCCGAGGTTGCCGGAACATTCTTGAGTCATAAGTATTTCTTATCCTTGAAGAAGTAATAGCCTAGCACTGAATACCCTTCCCTGAAAATGTGGCCCAAAGCCTGTGCCATTAACACTGTGTAATTGAGAGGGTGTAGCTTAAGTAGAAAATGTGGACAGACAGTATGAAATAAATAAATTTACATAGTAAGAGAAAATGAAGGGACTGGAAGGTTAAGCAAAACGGATGTTGAAGAAATTCCTTAATCCTGCTCTTTAGATGTTTTTCTACAGACTTAAGGCATCTCCTGCTCCTTTAATATTAATATTTTGTCATGTTTAAAAATAAATTCCACAAGGATTTTTGGAAGTCTTTCTTGCTTCCCATGCTTCAGACTATGTCTTTGTGCTCCCATATGCTCAAGTGTTAACAAATTGGATTTGGAAATAAGTCATAGTGTTAATCGCATTTGGCCACAAATAATCTTTTTGTTTTAAATCTAAGACAGTATATAGAGCAAACATGGATTAATTACCTCTGGTTCTGCTCATTTATTTCAAGGAGATGAGTAGATAGTGTGAAAGCCTTGCTGTTGGGGTGCTTGCGTAGTCAGCCTCTGAGTAGAAAAAAAAGTGTAGAAAAATAAATGCTGAAATACTTTTAATAGGTAATTCTAGAGCATTAGGACTGCATGTGGATATCCATCTCAGTATTTTGAGAGTTGTGTTGAAATGTTTTCTTTCTAGGAAGAAGCCCGAAAACATTTTAATTGTCCAATTCTAGAGGGAATGGAGCTTGAAAATCAAGGTGGCGTGGGTACTGAGCTCAATCACTGGGAGAAGAGATTGTTGGAGGTTTGTGTTAATAGTAGGAATGGAAGGGAATGTGGAAATGTCTGCTCCTTGTGCCTTGATTTTTAGGTTTATGGTGGTACCTACTGGAGCCTTGAAAATGCAGGAGTATCAAACCTCATTGAATTGCATCACAAATAGTATTTCACACTTAAATATTTAAAAGTCCAATTTCTAGATACATCTGTCATTTGGCCTTCTTGCTAAGTGTCAGAGTATGAGATCAAGTTACCCTTTTGAGAAGGTTTCCTCCCATTTTGGGGCAAAGGGGGTATTCCTTTGAGTAAATTGAATTTTGTTGCCCACTGCCTCTTAAATACTTCATCCTTCTATTTATTACCTTGACTTCATGTTTTTTCATGTCCTCTGGCTTTAGCTTTTGCCATGGCTCCTCCAGAACCCTGTCTGACCAAGGAAACACTGACTTCCCTCTTAAACATTTAAGCTAATTTTTATTTGTAACTTAACACTGTGTGATATTTTCGGCAGAGTTACATTGTCGAGTCATTGTTTTATGTAAACAAGAAGAGAAATGCTTCAGGACAATCTTTTTATGAAGGAGTATGGGATTTGATTGTCAATAGTAAAAAGAGAACAGAAATAAAATGCTTTTTCCTAAGAAGCATTTTCTTACAATAATGATTTTGGGTGGCTTACCAATCATAACTGGTAACTTTCAGAATGAAGCAATGACTGGATCCCACACTCAGAACCGAGTCTTTTCCAGGATCACCTTAGCATTAATGGAAGACACAGGGTAAGATTTGAGAATGGGAGGGTGGGTTTTGGGTTCATTTGCGTTTGGTTTGCATTTTACTTGATTTTATTTCAAATTGATGCCCTTGTACTTATCCCTCTGCAGCAGACTAGATTATCAGCATAATTAGCTTTACATTAGATAAGGACTCATACCTTGTATGTTACTTTTTCTTCATGTGTTTTAAAACCCATTTTTAATCTTGCCTTAAAAAGCCAGGCATTGCAATCTAAAGTGCTGTTTGTAGCATTTACTTTTTGTCTCAGTGTAAGTCTTCTTTCAATTGCATGCTATACATATTGATTATTTTTTTCAGCTCTTCATGCAGATAGAAAGTAGAAATTGTCAAAGGTTTCATTTTCTGTATGCATTGTTTCTTTGCAGATCACAAAATTTTCTTCTAGTTCGTTGTGACTTGAAAAATAGTGAAATCATAATGTGTTTTCCTATAGGCAGAAGGGGGTGCAGTTTCCCTTTTTCATAAGGAGGCAGTTTCCCTTTTTCCTTTGGAAAATCTTAAGGCATAATATGGAATTCCTTGAACTGCTGTTTTGTTAATCAGAACAGTAATTTTTGAAGTAGCAATATTCTCATTTCAAAATACCTTTACAGATGGTATAAAGCCAATTACAGCATGGCAGAGAAGTTAGACTGGGGACGCAATAAAGGCTGTGACTTTGTAATGAAGAGCTGCAAATTCTGGATTGATCAGAAGAGACAAAAGTAAGAATACAGTCTTTTTAAAAAAATTAAAAATAAAGAGGAAACACTGAGGCTTGTTTACATTTGTCCTTCAAATGTAACCCAGTAAAAAGACGTAGAGGTCAGCAGAAATGAAAAAGGAATGCTGCCCTGCATCCCACCCAGTTACAATAAATACAGAGGCAAACAGGGTGTAGAATGCATTTACACCATGAGAAGGCTTCATTTTAGGTAGGACAGGTAGGACTTAATCTAGAAGTGTTTGCCTTCTTATTTTGTCCCTTTTAATTGGGAATGCTGCCTGTGTCATTTTGCATTACTGGACTGTACTTAAAGCAGCTGAAGGAGATAGCGTCTTCAAAATACAGTCTGCCTCGTTTGTTCCTTACAACCTTGTTTGTTCTTTACAATCCTCAAACATTTCTAGGACACAGCTGCATAGTGGCCCTGTTTTGCTTGTATGTTTTGTTCTTTAAAGTTTACAAAGAAGTGTCATTAAAACTAAATAGGTGGATGCATTGTAACTTTGTTTACTGGCTAGATATTCTTTAAATCAGAAAAGGTCAAAACCAGACAAATAAGAAAAACTAACCTCCAGAGGAGTGCTTCTTTGTGTGATTTACTGAGTCTAGGGGAGAATTGGAACAAACAGTCTTGACAGGTTGCTTATGTAAAGCAGTTTAATTGATCTGATGTGATTTTTATTCTGTTTTTTTTGTTGTTGTTGTTGTTTTTGAGGAAGCAATTAATCAGTCCATACTGCGACACTTTGAGGAGTAATCCTTTGCAGTTAACCTGCAGACAGGACCAAAGAGCAGTAGCAGTGTGCAACTTGCAGAAGTTTCCAAAGCAGTTACCTCAGGAATATCAGGTATAATGGATCCTACTTTAAAAATAACTGAAGTGTTTTCATTGTTGAGCTTTGCAGCCTGATGATTGTATTTGTTTTAGTTTTGTTTCTTCTGAACCATAAGATGACAGTAGATACTGTGAAAAATATCTACCTAGTTTATTACTAGGAGTTGGAAGACTGATAAAAACCCCTTGTGATGTCAATAAAAGAAAATTATGTTGCTTGGCTATCTAGCCAAATACCAGATAGAAATATTATTGTGTAACAGAAATCCCCCAAAATGTCTTGTCTGAGGGATTTCTTCCCCCAGTAGTCTGCCCTTTTTTACTGCACACTAGGAAATCTGTTCTGTTTACATCCCAAATAATGTAATTATTGCAAAGAGGGGAATCAGGGGCAGAAGCTGGGAGTGATACACGCAGATATGAATCTCTGCATTATTTATGTATTCTTAAATACTTCTGGCTCATGTGGTTCATGGGTATTGTAAGGTGCTGTTAATAGCATTCCTGAGCAGTAACAGCTGATGTTCTTGCAGCTGTAGTGATTTGGTCTATTTAAAAAAAAGCTGTACACTTGCCTTTGCACAAACTGCCTCACTACTGTATTTTGTTTTGCAGTACTTTGACAATCTTAATGGGGTACCAGCAGAAGAATTGCCTTACTATGGTGGCTCAGTAGAAATTGCTGATTACTGTCCCTTTAGTCAGGAATTCAGCTGGCATTTAAGTGGTGAATTTCAACGCAGTTCAGACTGTAGAATAATTGAAAACCAGCCAGGTCAGTATTTAGGACTTCAGGGTGGTATTGCAGAGATTGGATTTGTTAACTTGGAATGGATTTGCTGCATATTCAAACTAATTGCATGTGAATTTTTTCACTCGTGAAGTTTCACACTACCAACTGTGTAAACACTGTGCTGTGGTAAGAAGAATAACACAACTATTGTGTACACCTGAGGCAAACTCACATATCTAATGCAGGAATTGCATAAGGAGTGAACAGACACTTACCCCGGATGACCCAAATACAAGACAAAGAATGGGGATGGGGAGAGGGTTGTTTATTGAGTCTCTGAAACGTGATTGCACTTTTCACCTTCATAGGCTTTTTGTTCAAGGCCAGGGTCTTTGTGAGTTACCAGAACCTGGGCTTGTCTCCTAGTGTAATGCATGAAAGTTCAGTATTGCAGAGCTCCAGAATGCTGTAGGATATTACCTGCCTGTGCACTTGTCTCAAAAAAAAAAAAAACACTCTCTGCCCTCAAACCAACAATCACAAGTGGTTATGTTTCCCTGAGGGCAAACATAACCACTTTTTGATGGAAAGTGCTTGCTCCTTGTGGGTTTTTTGTGGTTAGTTGATTTTTTTGTTTGTTTCTTAAATCTTGTATTTCTTCCCATGTTATTTTCAAGACTGTATAATTCCCAAATTGATAATAGTTCAGGGTCTGAAATATTCCAAAAGTAAACCTTGAATTGCATATGGGGACATTGATTAGATAGCCTTTTAAATCGATATGGGCTTTCTGTTCCTCTGGTTAACTTGTAATATTCCTTCTACCTTAGATCCTACCAAAAACTATGGTGCAGAGAAATATGGACCAAACTCTGTATGTCTTATTCAGAAATCTGCTTTTGTTATGGAACAGTGCAGGAGGAAACTCAGTTACCCTGACTGGGGTAGTGGATGTTATCAAGTAAGTATTTGTTGGATTTTTGGTGGGTTTTCTCCTTTAATAACCCTAAAGGGAATAGTCAGACTTAAAATTTAGGTTGTGACTTTGCACCTGCACACTGGACGTTATAATCTATAGATCATATAACATACTTCGAAAACAATCTTCCAACCATAAGCCTGTAATTTAAATAGTTAAGTGTGTGACTGCTGGGATGGCTTCCAGTCTCACTGGGGACATAATCTGTCTTACCCCATGACGCTTTATCCTCATCTAAGAAGGGATACTTCCATGAAATGTTCTGTTGTTGAAGCTTAATATTAATTAGTCACTCTGATTTTTCAGAGGTGGAAAGCGCTGTGTCACTTCTCATTTTCTTTGGGACTATCTCACTAAGTGTGTCACATTCAGTAACCTCACAATTCTGCAAAAATGGTCATTAGCAGAAGCCAAGTTTTATTCATTCTCAACTGGTGATCTGCATAATTGCACAAAAAGAGTATAATCGGTGCTTTGAAGCATTCCTGAATCTTGTAGTTGCTCGGATTGCATTAAAATACTTGCAGTTAATCTGTGCTTCTGATAAGTCACTGTAGGTGCACAGTTTGTGGTGACTGGGAGTGGGGCTGTGGCCCAGCCTCATCCCTAGTGGGCACAGCTGTGAGAAGCAGGTGAGCAGCACTGACAGCAATGAGCCATGGAGTGCCCAGGGGCACTGACCAACCACCAAAGGGAACAGAGGGCACACAGGTGCCATGCATGAACATGAGGTTATAAAAGGTCGGGCTAAAGAACAAGAAGGGAAGATGCTTGAAGACTTCTGAAGTGGTCTGGTGTTATTCTCTATGGGTTGAAGCTTTCTGAAATTGTGTGATGATACTCGTGTGTATCATGGCTGTCTCAACTGTGACATATGCTACAACAAATCATAATACAGACTTAATTCTTACCCTTTTGTTTTAAGGTTTCTTGTTCTCCACAAGGGCTGCATGTGTGGGTCAAGGACACTGTGTACTTGTGCAGCCGCTCGGGCCAGGTGTTGACTGTGAGCATTCAGATGAATGGCTGGATACACGTTGGCAACCTGATTTGCCCAGCCTGTTCGAATTTCTGTGACTCCTGTCCCCCAGAGAGGGATCCTCCAGCTTCCAACTTAACAAGAGCTGCACCCATTGGTAGGTTGCCTTTTTTGCTGAAGTGAAACTTCAGTATTAAATATCTGAAAACATCAAAGCTTTGTGTCAGCTCTGACTGTCAGGAAGAGGAAAGGAAGGCTATGGCTATTTTAAGATCCCAGGTGTAGGAGGTAAAGGAAAATAGTGAAGGTGCCCTGTGTTTTGCTGTGTAGACGTGCAGAATAGTGACTAACACAGGAGAAATGCATCTGAAACATAACGCCTTCGTTTGGGGTCTCCTTCTGGTTATCATCCCAGAAATCTAACTTTAGCCTGGGAATTTATCAGGAAATCTAACCTGTGTTTTGAAGGCCATATTGTTACTATAATCTTAAAAATTATCACCTTGGTGGGAAGTTCTCACTTGTACAACTTCCTATTGATAATGTTCATGTTATAATGCAGAAAGATCAGAGTCGATTTTCTTTTTGAGGAAGGCAAAAAGCTAAATTCACTAAATACCAGTTAATGCTTTGTCAAAAAGTTTTTTTTAACTTTTTAGTGGTTTTTAGTGTTCTCTTTGTTATTTTATCTTGTCTTTAAATGTGAAATTTATAATTTCTTTTTAATTTTTTTTTTAATTTTAGACTTATGCTCCTGCTCATCTAGCCTGGTTGTAACCCTTTGGCTGCTGGTGGCCAACTTAGTTCGCCTGCTAACAGGATTGTTTCTCTGCGCATAGACTTGAGCTTGGGGCAAGAAGTTTTGAGATAATACCCATCCTGCTGCGCTCCTTGCTGTGGAGCACAGGGGCTCTGTCTCAGCAGGCAGCTCTCTCCTGCTGAACCTCATCTCCCCTGGCAAGTATTGCTGCACACAGTAGTCAGGGAGGTGCTGACAAAAACAGGCAGAGTTTTGAGAGGAGGAAAATTTACCTTGTCATCTCAATAAGTGCCAGTATTTTCCTGAATTGCAACCTGAATTGCAATGGTTTTTTTGACGCAGTAACAAGATCCACTTTGCCAACTGTGTTAAACTACCTGGAAGCTCAGTCAAGATTTGAAATGAGAACTTTTCTGTAATAGAACTGAGGGCTGTTTTTTTGGTTTTTTTTTTGTTATGTCTATTGTGTGATTAGTAGCAAAGCATCCTCAAACTGGAAATATACCTCAGTGGTTTATTCAAAAGCCATGTAAAAATCAGTTGTCATCACTGCTGATAACCAAGGCCTAAAGAGGTTGGTAATTTGTTTGCTTTGTTAATTCTTACTATTTATGGGGGAGGAAAGAATGTAAGTGAATAAACCAGTGGTAGGCAGATGCCTCCACAACTGTATTCTGCAGCTTTGAGCCCCCTCAGAATTCATACTAGGTAAAGCAGCTAATTCTTGGGGTTCATTGCATCTTCCTACATGCACAAAATGGAATTTCAGACTGGTAACCAGGACAACTGTCTAGAAATCCCAATTTCATTTAGCGTGTGCCTGTTCTACTGTGAAATTTAATATCTCACATTTAAATATCCTCTAGAGTTTGCTAGGCAAATGCATTTCAGTACTGATACTCAGACTGTAAATTTGGGATAGGATTTATGATGATTTCTTATTTCATTGGTTTGTTTCTGAAATAATGACATTATTGTTTTAAAACTAGTATGAACATTACTACAGATGTTCTCGCTTCTTGTTGAAAAGCAAACCAGTAGCAATGGCAGCTATAATCTTACAGGATCATACTGATGTCTCTAGACCAAAAACTATATTGAATGTGTAAGGGAAGCCTAATCTGTTGGTTTTTTTACTTCTCTACTCTTTTTGGACATGTAAGTACTATGGATTATTTGAGTATTTGTAGTAAGATGAGAATCGGATGGTTTGAGCCACATGAGGGCACCCCTTGCTACAAAATTAATCACTTGATGACAAAATAGGTAAGAGGAAGGAAATGAGTAAAATCAGTCAAGGTAAGGACAGCTGCTGTATAGGACCCTTGTAAGGATGTTTCTATTTATTTCTATAATGTGTAACAAATAATCCTGTTCAGAGGTAAAGAAACTCTTTGTGGTTCAATCCACTGTCTGTCCTTTTAGGACAATTTTCACTCCTGGAAAAGTGTTAAATTTAAGGGAGCAGGCATGTCCATTGCACTAAAAAATGCAGATACAGGGAGAAAGATTATACTCTGCTTCTTAAATGTTCTGTGCTATTATAATTGTCAGTGACTGGATCCCTTTTGTAAATGAAGGTAGGGAGATGGAGTAAATCTTTAACTGCAATTATACTATTATAATAGGACTTCCATCATGATTGTAAGAAATTCTTTGTGCCTACTGGACTTGATTTTCTTTTTTGTGGTTGTGGTTTTTTTTTTTTTGGTTTTTTTTTTATTATTATTACAGGAAACTGTTATGACACTGCTGAGGCAAATAAGGTGCTACTTTAAGCTGTCTAAAGACATCATAGTTGAGAGCACCTTGCACTGGGCTAGTTCTCCTTCTTAACTGCAGATTAAGCTTGCTATGAATTACACAAGGCCTAGACTAGCCTTAAATCAGTGTCTCAGAGAAGCAATACAAGGCAGGACTCAAATGCTTTAAAATTGTACAAACTGAATTATTAAACACTCAGATTGATAAGTGAACACTATTTTAATATATCCACAAAACAGTAAATGTAAACTGATACCTAGAAAACATAAAGGTTTGAGAATACATCTTAGGTCCCAGAGGTTGATATTTGTATTTTTGTCTGTTGTGCAATAATACAGTTGAAATGGTATCACTTAACAGCAATGCTTTTGATACTTGAAAAGAAATTACTGGTTATTTTTTCTTACTGTGAAATGTTTGCACTGTCTGAACTTTCTAGTTAACTTTATAACTGTTAAACTTTTTTAACTGGTGTTAATTTATTGTGCTCAGTATTTGATATGCTGGTCTCCTGTCTAAGTGTGAGATTTGTCATATTTAATTGAATATTTTTATCTTTTACACAGTTGTTTATCTTGAGGGCTTTTCTTCTTTTAATCTCTCTTCCTGAGAATTAATTGAAAGATGGGTTAGAAAGATGATGCTTACCTACTTCTGAATTGTATGCATGAAGTAAAGAAAGGGGATATAGTGCTTTGTGTTGAAAGGGAAAAATCTGTCAGCCTGTTGGAGCTCTTGTGGTCAGGTTCACCAGTACCTGCTGAGCAGCTGCATCAGTGAATCCAGTGAAGTAAAACTGCTACTGCCTTCATAATCTGGGATTTCAGTTGTAATTTCTTTATCATACAGCCCTTCAGCTGCCTGTGAACTGCAGAACTGGACGTGACTTTGGGGGGTCAGGTGTGGAAGGTACTTTAGTCAGAAAAATGCAACATCTTCTATCCCAGCAGTGGGTTAGCAGCTGCTAGCAGCTGTAGCCTGTGGGAACTGCCAGGAAATGTGTCAACTTAAAGTGGCAATGAACTGGTAGCTGTCATACAGAATATTTGAGTAAAGCTGACTTCCTCAGTTCTGTTTGTCTTTGCATTCAGCTTTTAGCATGCTGTGAACTTCCAGATCTTAACATGAATTAAGTAAAATCATGTCTCAGGTTTTTAAGAGTAAAATTACTACAGTAGGAAGCATAAGCCATTTTTGACTATAGAACAGTTAAAATTGTAGCTGAAGCAGATCAGCTATGTACCCTTAGGTGTAGTTTCTGCTATAAAATTCAGAATTCTTTTAAATAAATGCAAAGTTTGCTCTGTTAGGTGTCCTGACCACACGTGACCAGTCCTTCCTATTGCATCTCTTAAGTGTGAAAACTTAGAAATACAGCCCATTTAAGCCTTCAAATTTCCACCAGAGAAGACTGGGCATTAGGAGCCCTGGAAGTTGTGCTGAGATGCATGAGTTTGCTCATCTGTAACAGAAATGTTTTCAGTGTATAGTCCACAGTTTTAACTTCATATTATTTTAAAAATATTCCATGTTTGCTTAGGGAAGTAAATTAATCTTGCAGTCTTTTTTGGTCCCAGTAGTTAAAATCATTTCAATTAGAAGTTGAAGCAAGTTAATATTTTAGGAACACATTTTTTCTAGTGTTGCAATTAAGAGGAGGAAGGATAGCTTTTGGAGAATGCAGCAAGTAAAATCACATGGAAAAGCAGCAATTCATTCCTCCTGAAATGAGTAGAGGTCTTGGGATACAGTCACGGCCCTTGATGTAGGTTAATTACTGAATTATATCCCCCATTGACTGTCAGTCCAACGCAGCTCATTCTTTTTGCTGAGCTCTAATAAACTGGGGAGACTGATGTCTGAGGGCAGACATATCCACACTCACGTATGAGGCCAGCTGTTTTTAAATCTTCCTGTCCTGCAGATCTTTCTGCTGGTTGATACTCAGTAGAGAGGGAGGTGTACATCCTTCCCCAGATTTCCAAGGGCTGACTTTCAGCCAGCTGAGCAGCTCAAGGTGTTTTTCCCTGCAAGACTGAACCCCTGTTTTTAGCCTGCCTGCTTGCATGTATGTACTGAGGATCTGGGGCTGTTTGTGCATTGAACGACATGATCTTACAGGCTTCCAAAGTGCAAATGTTGCCTTTTTAATGTGAAGCTTACCTTGAGATAAAACAACTGTTTTGAGAGAACTGGCTGACCTTGAACATGTGTTTCCTATTTTGGTACAGAATGTAAATATAGAACTAACTATTTTACACAGATTTTGGCTGGACTGACATATAAGGGCTAATTTGTGTTATTTATGAAGTAAATATTTCCTTATTTTACTGTTTAAAAAGCTATGTCATGCAGCAGAAGAAAAAACTGTTTTTCAGTAAAATATCTGTAGAATATTAATTCTTGTCCTTTTCTTTGAGAGCTGATGATGATTAACTGCAAGAGTAAGAGCAATAAAGGACCACTATTACAACAGTCATTTATTTCATGAGAATGTTGAAAAATGAAATTCCATCAAGTCTGCATATTGATCACTTTATTAAATTATTTGATACACTTTGAATGTAAAATATTCTATGTTATTATTAGCTCATATATGACTTATCAGAAATTCAGCCTGATGGTAAAGGAAGGAGGTTCCTGAATTCTCTATCCCATCCTCATGTCTTTGATACTTCAAAACTGTGCAATGTGTAAGTATTTTTCCACTTCAAATTGAAGATCATAAATTCCCTGCTTTGTGTGAAGGATTTGGTCACATGATTCCCATTTCAGGGGCAGGAATGTTGGTGTTGCTCTGCAGAGCCCCAAGCTGTTAGCTGTGACTGGACTCTGAGCAGGAGGAGCTGAGCTACCCTTGTTGCTGTTCAGGAGCATCAGGGATGCTGCAGCCACTGGTTTTGGTACCTGAGCTAGCTTTGCTAGCTGTGAGACTGAGATTTTTACAATATATTTGTAATTACAATACATTATTTTATATATATATATATTACTCTGGTAAATGGGAAAGACCTATAATTCCTCTAAAATTAGTTGAAATTATTTTATAATTAGCTCATTTTTTCCTCTAAGCAATATGATAGCGAGTACACTGATTTAAAAAAACTTGCCTTCTCTGCAATTTCAGAAAATCTGATAAAGCACAGCAAAAGTAGGTTACTCTTCCTTCTTTTTTTTGCCTTCTCTCAAAATAGGAATATTTCAAAAGGGGATTAAAGCTTATAAAATGTGCCACTGTTCATTTTGTAGTGTTTTTAACTCTGAAAAACATCAGGTATGTAAAGTTACCCAAGTACAACTATAAGGTTTAAAAACTTCAATGTTTCTAAAATTCATGATACTGGTACCACAATAAAAACCCCTGGTCTGTGAACCCAGTTTGTGTTTAAAATTCAGAAGCAGATGGGAGATCTCTCTCCAGGATGTGCTGCTTGAGCAGGATCAGGACACGACTGCAGTCTGGAAAGCTGCAGGGAGCTGCACTGGTCAGAGCAGTGGAGTTTCCTGGAATGCAGCCGGGTGTGAAATGCCAGTTCACAGGAGTTCTGTGCGTCTGTAGTGGTCACTTCCATACAGGTACAAAAAGTCAAGTATAACAGAGAGTTTGTCACTGTTACTGGTTGTCCCCTCAAAATATCAGCAAGTGCGCAAGCTGAGCCCTGGGTACATCTCCCTGTCAACCTCCACTTCTCACCTCTCAGCTGATTCAAATTAATGATGAAGACTTGCTGAGAAAATCTGATGCTAACAAAATTGTCTTTGGTTATTCCAGATGTTTTTTCTGTGTTTAAAGGAATACAGTAAATTTAATCAAGGTCAGATTATTACTGAAGATTCCTAGTGTTCCAGATTTGAAACAAACAATACACCCATCCCAAGCACCTTCTTCTTTTCCCCCACCCCTTAAACTGTTGTATTTATACATCTGATGAACATTCATGTGTGTCTGAGCACAGTAATAGTACCTATTTTTCCAAAGAAGCTTCTACTGGGAAACTAAATTAAGGAAGGCCTAAATGTCCCAGAATACAAAATGTTATTTGTTTTTGAGGTGAATCATGGAAATCCAGCATTTGTCCATGTGATTGCATCTAACTGCTCCTGGATTTCTTTTTTTTTTTTTTTAACTATGATTTATCTGTTTGAATGAGTGCTTTGATTTTTCTACAGGTTGTGCCATTCTAGAAGTAATTGTAGGCAAAACGTTGAGTTTTATGTGCACTATTTAGCTCTGTTGTAGAAATCACAAGGGGAACTGTTTTCAGTTAACAAGAAAATAATTATAGGGAAATACCCACATTACTAATTCAAATAATATTAAGTTTTACATTTGTTTCCTATTCCTTGGATATAATAATGTTGAAATTAAAGGCAGATTTTTTTTACCCCTAGGGCAAGGGGAATTAAATACATTCTTTGCTGCTTTTACAGCAAGTGTTACACAACCTGTTTCTCTACTTCAATTGCTGTGGAGTGGACAGAAGTCCCAGGAAGATGAGAATTCAGCCAGGTGAGGAGAAGGGATCTCTACTTGTGCTCTGGGTGGTTCTGCAGGCACGTGATGAAATCTTGGATTGATCGACGCTCATAGCAGATCTTGTAGATGGTTGTAAATAATGGAAACCTGAAAGAAGTATATAGGAATTAAAATAGTTTTTAAAATTTATATGATTATTTTTATTCTATTTTAATGGAAGGAATTTTTTTGTTCTGTTGAAAGTGGAAAAATTTTGTCTCTCTTTACGATATAATTTTAGCTTGGGGCTACCTTTACTGGAAGACTAATGGGCGAAGCAGAGGAGCAAATCATGGGAGTGACAGCAGAGAAAAGCTGTTTTGGAAGCAAAATACCGATCCAGTATTTTTTATTTAAAAACAATTTTGAATTGCATATCCTCTTTTCCTGCTGCGTGCAAAATGGATACATTATTTGCAGTCATTACTGATATCCAAAGGACTAAAAAGAATGAAAATGTCTAATGATTTTCTTTTCTTGGCTTAAAGGATTCTTTTCCTTTTACAAGCTATTGCAGTCATTATGTGGTAAAAAATGAATCCACTGAATGATTTGGAGCTGAGCATGTAACAAAGGGCAATTATAGGATAATTATTAGATCAAGTTGTGATTTAAAGCTTTCCTTTTCTCTCTCATTTTTGAAAGATAATGCCACGTGAATCTTTTGTATCTGTTCCAATTCTAATGAGTTTTTAAGGATTAATTTAGCAGTGTTTGACTTCTCAGTACTGCTGATGTATGAGAGGAAAAGGGATGGAGGGAAGTCTAGCTTTTCTGTTGTGTAAGTTGAGGTAAAGGTTTCAAATTATTTATAATCCTACATCATCCTAAGCAATTAGAGGTACTTTTTACCTTTACCATTTTACTTTTGTGGCACTAAAGCATTGATATCAGTACACATTACCTGTTCAGTGCATGTAAGAATCTTTGATTAGGAATATGATCCTGAAATTTGTACTGAGATACCAAATTCAGGTTTGCACTGAGAGCAGGACTGCTGCAAGCTGCAATGCTGGTATACTGAAAACAAGAAACCCTTTGGCCCATGAATCATGTCTGCAAGACGATTCTGTGTACAGCCTTAAATCTTATTTGTGGGATGGGGATGTCTGGGAGGCTTCTTTACATTATAATTTATTTTGTTTCCTGTGTATGGGCCATTCACTTAAGATTTGGTGATGATCTCTGTGGGTCCCTTCCAACTCAGAATACTCTGTGATTGTTTTCCCTGCTGTTCCAACATGTGATCTCACATTACTGTATTAGGCACTAACAGTATCCCCTGAATCCACTCTCAACTGACCCTGGCAATGAGGAGTCAAACCAGGCTCTAGCAGGGGCCCAAGGTGTAGAAAGCTGTTGTTGCAGAAATGAACAAGATAATTAAACACAAGTACAGTTAAGGAGGTTGTGAATCACTCATGATTTGTTGTTGTTTTTGTTGGGTTTTTTTAAGTCAAAGCACTTACTTATGGAGCATATCTTTCTGTTTCAGAATTTTGTAGACTTCAGCAGAGGTCTGAGGACCTTGCAGCTTTTGTCCATTCAGCATCTCCTTTTCCAGCTCTTCAATGGACTAGAAGAGAGAAGATTGATTACTTGGGTCAGAGGGGATACTGCTGTGATACTAGCAGTTATCAAGAAGGTAAACAATTAACAATGCCTTTGTAAAACACAGAAGGACTTCTTCAAGTGTTAGCATAAAGTATTTCAAATTCTTCCTTACTTTTCCTGTGCGAGCAAAGGCTTCCGCTACTTTTCTGTTGCGCCCACCGTAGCAGGTGGTGATGAGATCAGCAACCCCACAGCTTTCCAAAAAGGTGGCTATTGACACTGGTCCCTTGCAGAACATCTTGGCAAAGGCCACCATCTCCATGAGGCCCAGGCGTATCACTGCTGCCTTGGTGTTGTCGCCGAAACTCAGTCCATCACAGAACCCTGCGCCCACCGCCACGATGTTCTAAAAATGGGCCAGTGCAAAATACAGGGGAGGGAAGGAAACAATCAGCCAAGGTGTGCAGCTTATCAGCATGCACTGAGCTCCAAGGAAACCCAACAAACCTGTCTTCATCAGAACAAGGGTCAATTTCCAATGGTCATGAGTTTATCTTGTGAAGAGACAGATAATGCTGAGCAGAAGTCCCTGGGCTTTTAGAAGATTTTTATTAAGTATCTGCTGTTACTCCCATGGGCAAAAACCAAAGCAGTGTTTTATACACTAATAGTGCAATCACATAGCATGTATGCAATTAGTGTTTTGTTTTCCCGCTAGTTCCAAGTTGGATCTCGCTGACCTTTCTGTTTAACTATTTAAAATATCCCACACAGAGTCAAACCTTTCAGGTTTTCTTTGTGGGTCTCCAATTTGAGCAGGCATAGATTCTATGAAGATGCTGCAGTAGATCAAATTTTGGGCTTACCTATAATTATCAGTAGAACTGCCCTTGTCTACAGCTCTAAACAAATTTTTCAGGATCCTAAAAATCTTCACAAGTCCTCACCATTGTTCAGCATGCTTCCCTTCCCACTTTACAATTCCTAGCTCCTAAAGAAGTCCCTAAAAAAATGTAGTTCAGTGTATATGAGTAATATGCTACTTAGTGCTACCATTGCCATGTTTGCTCCAGACATGTATGTACCCCGGTACACATGTTTAATTTTTCAGGTTTTTTTAGCAGAGGCAAAACCAAACCGATGATTCCGAGAAATGAAATGATTTATCATAAAACAGTAAAAAACTCTATCCCCTATGTTCCTGCCCCCAGTTCTGCTCTGTGGCCAAAAGCTAAATCTGTAGTATTTGGTTTTGTATGTCATAAAATTTTATTTTTGTATGTGAAGTTAAACAGGACCAATTTTTTCCTCATCAGTCATCCACCTCCTCCATAGAAAGGTGAATTATTGAAGTATAAATGACTAAATGTATAAAGAAGTAAAAAGGATCACATGCTGAAGTCACTTTGAATTCATATAAAAGCAAACTCTGAATCTCACATTATTGTCTCCTCATTGAAAATTTGGTGACTCTGGTGTCATTTCTGATCCCACCTGAGATCTCCATGTGGATATTGCTGAATGCCACACAGACGTGCTGCCAACACAGAGCATCACTTCTGATGTGAATTTTCTTGCAGGTTAGTATTTAAACCATGGACATAATTATTAGTGGAGCTACTCTATGTAGTGAGAGTATTTGTTCTGTGTGCTCACAACACACAGAAAAGAAAACACAGTAGACTAAACTCTGCTCTCAGAAACAGATGTGCCTCTGGTAAAATAAAGATAAAAATACAAATATTTTTAAATGCTTTGCCTGCAGCTGCCTTTTAAATATATTTCCCCTTTTTGGGGGAATTTATTTCCCAGGTTTATTTTCCAGGTTGGAAAACTGGCTCATGAATGATGCATCTTGTCTTCTCTCATTCACTCACATGGTGACAGGACTCATATTAAACCCCATGGCTTACAGAATACTCAGGTAAGATTAGAATTTGGCCCTGATTTAACATATTGGCTTGAAAACACTCACTTTTAAGGCTCCACAAAGCTCCACTGTATCAGAGTCAAGCACCACAGTAATCCTGAAATTGGGGGTCTGCATTAATTCTTTAAAGATTTCCCCTTGAGTTTCATTTTTGCATCCTGTGGGAAAGAAGGATGAAAGAGGCTTTTACAATGTTTCAGAGTACACACAATTCACCTGCAATAAGGTTCTAGGGACAACTTCAGCTTTTGTGATCCCAGTCCCAAGTGTTGCTAAACCAGAGATCTGTGCAACAGCATTTTCTGCTGCTGGATGCCAGTGTTACGTGTAGGGAGCTCCAGGGCATTGATCAATATTGCTTAATGGCACTTTAAAGAGCTTAAAAGTAGATACCCCCTAATGAATCTTTCTGCCTGAGAAAGCTTGTACAACCACGGACCTTACAAAAGACATTATTTACAAACTGTTTCCTGCAGGACAATGGTATAATTTCTGCTTTGAAAATGTAAACCTGGGTCACTGCTAAGTACTATCATGGGGCACAAATTACTATTGCCCAGTAACAGGGGGATGCACAGATCATGAAATTGAAGGTTGGCACTGCTAAACCTTTTTCCTACCAATTCTACAGAGGTCATGTATCACGTTACAGTGTTCAGCCAAGGAGAGCCCTTAGTGCTAAAGGAACTGAGATTTGCCTGGACCTAGAGAGCCTATGGCCAGCTGGGCAAAGACCTTTGAATAGAGTTGCACTTGAGTTTTGTACAGGTAGCTTGGTTTCCTTCAGGGTGAGCTCAGCTGTGAGGTTTACTAGGCTGGGGCACCACACTCTGGTAGCAGGGAGGTTTCTCACCATCTCATGAGAAACTTGAGGTTTGCTTCTTGTTCTTCACAGTACCAGTTCTCTTTGAGGCAGCTGTTTCTGGACTGTGTGGCTTTCCATGGGGACAAAAATAAGGGGCAAAGCTCTTTGCACAGTCATCACATCATAGCTTCAAACCAGGCCAGGAGAAGTTAAATTTCCCCCCAAGAGAATTAACATAGCTCAACTCTCCTAATCATGTCTAGTCCTATCTGTGCTTAGCTGCTCTTTCAGTAACAAATGCCCAGCTGGTACAGTTGTACTATTACTGTAATATTTGCAAGGCAAATAAACATTATTGCAACACAATTTATTTTTCTTTTGCCTTTCCTAGCTGTGGAAGGATGTAACTTTAATTTTGACTGATTTTAAAAACCTCTGAGTTTTAAAAACTACTGGATGAACTTTCCAAATCAGATCAGACCCAGTCTGGGAGGATCTGAGGCTGTGTCTTGGTAAGTAGTCCAAAGGGCAGAGAGGAACAGAATGTTACTGGGTTTTCTTTTCCAAACAAAGAAATTTTAAGATTAAGAAATACCCCTCTGGGAGTATGAGCACATAGAAGCTTCTGATTACACTTTGTCTAGACTGTATTCTGTATCAGCTGTTGATACACTGATACACTCAGTGTTGAGCCCTACAAACACAAAAGGTGGCTCTTGCCAACTCCTACAGAAACAGGATTAAGCTGTGATATTTTCAATTGATTAAATTAACTCTCAGCACTGAAACCCACTGTCAGATTGAATCTGATTCAGGACCAAATTCTCTGAAATAATCCTCACTCCCTAAAGGAGCTCAGCAGGCACTGCTCCACTTGGGGACCATCTAGGGACCAGTCATATCCCTCTGCTTCTTCCAGAGGTTATCCTGCCACAGGTGACTTTAAGCCCCAGCTCTAATTGGCTCTTTGCAATAGTTACCAATGGTGGTTTCACAGAACTTCTCATCAGCCACTTCTTTAGCTATGTTGGCCCCCATCAGCACACTGATCTCTATTTTCAGCTGCTCTCGAATGAGGTCAGAGATGAGCTTCAGGCCATGAGGACCCTCATCAATCCCCTGAAAAGAAGATAGTTAAAGCCAGGGTATTATGCCAGGAAAATTACAGCAGCAGAGCACTGGTAAAGCAGAAGGTGTTCTATTGCCTGCAGCTCTCTAGTTTTAATTTTAAAAAAGGGTCTTATAATCACTAGTATTAGCCATTAATAAAAATGCTTTGGATTTGTACTTTGGTAACTGCAAATTCAAGGCAAGCTCAGGGAGAAGGGGTGACAGTCAAGGTAATCCTGCAAGAGGCCTCACATGAAGTGCTGCTGTCCTGAGTCTTGCTTTCTTTGATGTTGTATTTTTCCTTTTGGTTAAATTTCTGTAGTACAGGAAAAGACATTTAAAACTAAGTCTATAAAAATGGCTTTTTTTGCAAGATCTAAGTATTAATCAGAGTTCTTTTTGGGTGTTAAGGAGTATACTGAACTGTCTTAGGTTTTTTAAGCTAAATTTGCAGAAATTTCCTTCCTCTCCCACCTGCCTCTCTTCTCCTTACTGCTGGTTATGAGATAATTTCTATACAGTGGAAGAGCTGGTATTAAAGTTCAAAAATTTGAATTACATTTCTTTCATTGCAATTTTAAGTGGGATATTTCCTATAATGCAATCAAAGAAGTGGTAAGACTACATTCCTATGCTTTGCCTCTGGCTTTTACTTTGACATTCTTTTAAAATATTAACTCCTTTAAAGATTACGATAATCTGGTACCTCTCTAACCTTAAAAAGAGATGCCTCTGTTCATGCCAGATTGAAATTGCTTCAGTTTTGCAAAATCATTCATGTTATTATGCCATTTTAATGCTGCCAAGAAAGCTTTAGCATGTACTTGGAAGAGGCACTTTGACTCAAGAGTTCTCAGTTAGGAGTTAACTGAGGCTGTAATCTCAGAATATTTTTCTGGCAGCAGTTCCAGCTTTATGCATCCCTTCCTCTGCCCATTTTCACCTCCATGCTGGTCCAAGTGGGAGCTGATCCAGGCTAAATAGACTGGCAAAACCAGATACTCTTAGCCTGGATAGGCTGCCCCATCCTTCCCTCTCCACAGCCATGAGAGTAGCAGAAGGGCTGGCAGAGCTGGGCAAGATTTAACTCTTGCAGGAGAAAATGTTCATGTTTATGCAGAGTGTGCAGCTGAGGGCTGCAGCTCCTGCCCTTAAGTTGGAGCTGTTTATTTACTCCATATTGACTGGGTACTGTGGAGACAACAACTTACCTTGATCAGGGAAATCCCAAATGTCCCAGGTTTTATCTGTCCTGCAATCTGCTCACAGACTCGTCCAATAAATTGATGTGGCAGAACAAACACTAAAACATCTGCCCCGTTTGCTGCTTCAGCCACGTCTGGTACAGCCACCTGGGACAAGAGTGACAAACAAAATGAGCCCCAGGTAAGAGTCCTCAGTCCTTGCAAGACACCATCATGCCAAAGCCATGGCAAATGAGTGCAAATGTCCTTAATTTTAACTGGCCCTATGGCATAGGTGCCAGCTCTCCACACGAACAGCTGCAGATCTCTTCTGAAATATCCAAAACAGCTGAACTGTTTTGGGGTTGGATTTTTAATAATTTTTAAATAATTTAACCCTGTGTGGATAATCTGGGAAGGATAATGTACTTCATAAATTTGTGATGTGCTGGGAAGCCCCTTTGCTAGTTCAGCTTCTTGATCTGGTTCCTGAAGATGGCTGACCAACCCCATATGATTCTTCTGGAATGAGTGGTAGCACTGGGGAGCACAGGAGAAAAATGGGGTGGTTGGGACAGAGGCTCTTCTGGAGGTCTTTAGTTTCCATAGGTCACCAGCTGAGTTACTGAGGGATAAACTGTATCAAAAGACAGAAATTATCATAATCTTTGGCTGTGTGCCTTTGTTTTAAATATACAGTAATTTTCACAAGAATTACAAAAACCTCTACAGCATGCTTAAAAACTACCTAGCTGTATCTTCCTCCACATGCTGGCATTACTCAGAACAATAATTCAAGCCAGGCTACAGAGGCAACAGCAGGTGCATTTGAGCCTGCTAGAAGCAATTTACAGTAGGAGCAAACATCACTCTTAGATGCAGCCTTGAAGCATGCAACCTTAAGCAAGTGGGACTCCCAGCAAGAAAACCAGAGCTGCTGCCAGCCAGACTGCTTCTCTGGGAAAACAGTGAAGTGGGAGCAGGGCAGAGGCTGGCAGCACTGCACGGGCTGTGCTCCTGTCTCTCCAAAATGCTGCAGAGCAATGCAAGGAAAAGCTCAGCTTGTTTGCGTTTCTTTTTTTTTCCTCAGTTGGAGATAGTCTGAGGGTCCCTCTACTGCAACCAGCTGATTTTTGCTGGTGAAGCCTCAAGCTTTGCTCTAAACAGGGTGAGGCTGGCCTCAAGGGATGGTGACAAGATCTGCTAGAAGGTTGTAAAAATAACAGTGACAAGTCAGTTGTAACCCAGGAGAACTGTGTGCCAAGTTCAAACACTAGACTGCAAATATGCAATCACAGCACAAAATGGAATACTAAATATAGCCACTCCCCAAGCAAGGAGACCCACCACATGCAGCATTTTAATTTCCCTTTACAACTACAACTGTTCCAAAAATGCGGCACTACTCACAAAGCAGCAGCGTTTGGCAAAATCTTGAACAGCCAAACCCCCTCACCTCACTTGTTTCAGAAGCAGTAAATTTTTTAAGGTAATTAATTTGAGATGTGTAACTTGGTATTTTAAATGTCCATGAAAATAAATACCTTATATTTTTTGATACAATTTAGAGCTTTATTAACTACAGCTGTCCTGAAATCACCTATGAGCTGATAGCTCATTATTCACCTTCTTGTAAGCCACAGCTCTGCTTTGATTTTTTTTTTTTTTCTGAAGAAAGGAGAACAGTAGCTTTGTCTGTTTTTCCAGAAGATGCTGTGGGTTTGAAATAGCTCTGCGTAGACAGATCTCTGCCTGCCATTTCTAGAGTTGTGCTGCTCTCTGCCAGGGAGGAGGATGGTGTGATACCAGCACAGACACAGTTGGTGTTTGAAGTTGCATGTGACATACAAGACAAGCATAAATAACAGAACTTAATTATATTCCAGGGAGTTATAATGGAGTGAGTTAGGTGGCAAACCAGAACAAAACAGTGAATTGCTTCCTAATACTTTTTTTCAGACATCACCTCCCTTATTGGAAAAAAAAAAAAAAAAGTAAGTTCAGTGATTTAATTTTATTTTTCAACTTACCACATTGTGGGGTATCTTATACCCAGGCAGATATTTAACATTTTCATGTTCTTGGTTGATGATTTCTGAGAGTTTTCTTCCATTAATGATCTCTTCAAATACCCACATCTTGACAGTGGGATCAAATCTGTTTGACTTCTGGACATTTTTGCCAATGATTCTTGCTATGGCTGATCCCCTGTAAAATAAAATAAAAATAACTAAAAGGGGAAAAGTACTTTTATTGTGAATTGGAAACACTAGTTACTTTAAACATCATAACTCATAAAAAGCCTGTGCTATAAAGCTGTCCAGGTGCTTGCAGCATTTATCAGAAAGCTTTATCCACTACCCTGCATCAAAAGTCCCTCAAGTTTAACACCAGAGGAAGTAGAACAGGGGAAAAATATAACTGCAATAATGGAACTGAAGTAGTATCAAAGGTTATAGAGGTTATAAAGGTTATATAGGTGTGTGATGTACCATCAATAATACTAAGAATACATTATCTGAGATTAAAATCTTTTATGGTCCTCAGATAATTCTGTTTTTCGTCAAGATCAATAAATGTAAAATAATTTAGGTGGTAAGTAAGTGCTGAGCAACCTTGCTGTGACAGTCTTCATGCATCTCATGTAAAATAGATGCTTCCCACTTTCCTATCTATAACCGAACAGTTACAATAAGGATTTTACATAAGAGCTAAATGCTCAGAAAAAAACCCAAACAACTCTTCAATCTGGTGATTTCTCTTTACTTATTGTTCTAATTATCATTGTAACAGGACCTGTAATACTTGCAGCCTGAGGGTATTTTAACCATGCTGTTTACTCATCTTGAATCATGCTGAGCATTTTTAATTTCAGGTCAGACAATAGTTTTATTCCCCCATCATCACTGCAGGCCTGCAAACACTCACATGGGAAGGGAGAATTAGAAACCTCACAGAAAATATTTGAATTATTGTTTAATGAACTTTAAATTATTTGGGGAAGAGGGGTGATTATTTTTACTCCTCTCTATCTTCTCTACATTTTAATGCTACTTTAATCTCTCAAATATTGGCCACTTTATTAACAGGAGTGAAAGAGAAGCTCCAGTTGCAGCACTCTTTTCCTCTGACCCACGTGTAACAAGGAGCATGAATAGGATTTAGCTGTGGTGTGTGTTCTAGAACTGATAAAGTTCTTAGGAATATCAAAGTCCAGGTAGGTCTATGCTGTTAATGATTCAAAGGAAAACCTCATTGTAACTGACCCTCCTTGGTTCACCCATATTTTTCGTGTAACAGGTTTGCATAAGGTTAAATTGCTTAATAATGAATAAGGTCTTATTAATAGGTAATTAAGGACTTAATCTTTAATAATAAAGAAATCCTGCTGAGATCAGGTTTCACTTTGCTCAGTGTTGATTATAAGTGATATCCTGCTTTTTTTAGTAGTGCTTTTTTAAATTTAGTTATTTAGTTTGGGGCTTTTTGGTTGATTTGTGGTTTTTGTTTTGGGGGTTTGTTTCATTTTGTAAGGGATTATTTGATTTGGTCCTTTACAATATTTAGGGAAGTGTTTTAAGGGTGAACCTTTTCTGTAAGAGTTCTGCTGTTTTGAAAGAAAGACATGCATAATACATTAATATTATTTATAAAATTGCTTATATTCTGATTCTCTTGCCCTGCTATCAGCAGAGGGCACATTCAAAGCTTGAGCTCCACATAAGAAAAATGTATTAGCAAGAAAAAGGTTTGGGGTTTTTTTCATAAACTTGAGATACAAATTCATTATCTGGGTTGTCCAGCACAACCTGGATGATGAACTTACACAATCCTACCCATAAAAATAACTTTTTTAGCTAAGTACCAAGAACATGCAATTTTCTGTTGAAAGATGCGGAATCCAGCTCTAATCCCTGCAATCCTGACTGAGACTTGCAACTCTCAGTAGATAAACACAAGCCCTCCTGCACCTACTGGCAAGCACAAAATGCAGTGCAGCACTTGCTTTGCTCAACCACATCACTCATGAGCCTCCAGGCAGTGTTGACTTAGCAAGTCCCTGTGACCTGCTGAACTTCTGCAGCTGACATGAGCTTTTGCAACATTGCTGTGTCACATGTCAGCCACGATTCTGAGCTGCAGGAAAGCTTCAAGAGCAGGGATCTGAACTGCCACCCAAATATTTATGAGGAACATAAGGAAAAAATATTTGCCAAAGGTAAACATAGTAGCACTAAAACAACCTGTTCTGCCACCAAGGCTATGAATAATAGTTATTCATACCTCAGAGTACAATGTTTATGTCCTCCCTGAGGATTTTAGAGTTGGTGTATATGGTAGGAAGCAAGAGATGGGCCCAGGCAGTATGGGTAAGTATATGATATTGAATGGGCTGGGGTCTCAGTATCTCTGTAGTATACTCTTTTCAGTTTTGTAGGTACATGTGGAAAAACAGAATTTCATTGGGTACAGATCTGAATACAACTAAGTGACTTTAAATGACATCTTGTGGGATGCAGCCTGGAAAAAGCAGGTGGTCCTGGCTTGAGGATGCAGCAAGAGAATTATGAAGTCTGTGCCTGTGGGCTGACCAAAGGTAAAAAAAGTCATCTTCCAAACATGCAGTCATGGCTATTGAGGGCTTGGAAGAGACAATGAGCTGCCAGCACAGGCAAGGGAGGGAAGAGAAAGTGGCAGGGAGAGGGATGCCTTCCCTGAAAAACATGGGAAAGCAGCAGCTGAGGAAACAAGTGATGGGTCTAGAGAAAGCCAGAAGTGTGACAATGAGATCCAGAAGACTTGCCTGTGCAGTTCCATGTGAAAGGCTGCGAGATGTCATGCACAAAGAGATTGCATTGCAGGCAATGGACTGTTTTTACACGACAGGAAGGCAGAGAGCTTTGCTTTAATTCTGCTATGTTCTCAGCAGCTCACAAGCAACCACTCCCTCATTTATTGACTCTTCTGCCATTACTTCCACCTAGCTGTCAGATATTTTTAAAATCTTAAGGAGCTTGCTCTCCTTGTACAAAAACAATCACCAGCACTACCTGGAGGCTAGGTTTGCTAATCTCAAATGCATGCACATGCATGTTGGTCTGTTTGTTTGTGCTCAGTGTACAGAAAGCATAAGAAAAGTAAGATGCTAAGTCCTGTGAGATGGATTTACTGTTCTTACTGGAATCTGTCAGACTCAAGGAGCTGTGGAGACCTGTGCTTTTGTCCAGGCTGGAAAGGACTGAGCAGTAGCAAACATATTTGTAAGAATGAAGATAAATGACCTATGCTGAAGATAAATTAAGATTATGCTGTATCCACACCAAGATGCAAAAGGACACGCTGAGGAGGAAGGAAGTGAAAGGTGCCAATCATCATGCTTTAAATGAAGCCTGTGCCCCGGTTCCTTCAGAGGAACACAAACAGCACCACCACCCTTCATACTGCTGAATGCTTCCATTTGAACTGCCGGGGCCCATCAGCAGGCATACACAGCGACAGCTGCAGCTCCGGGCCTCTCTGGATTCTGCCGCCAGCCTTTAAGCGGCTCACACACCTGGGGTGATGCGAGAGCCTCACGCTATTCCAGTTCTCACTGACTGCTGCATCTCTCGGGACCGGCGGTCCCTGCCCAGGAGCGCAGGACCGCGGCAGGACAGGGCCGGGGTCGCGGTTTCAGGACCGTGGAGACTCCCCTCGCCCCCGGCCCCGCCGCTCCCCGTACCGCACCTGTTGCGAAGCCCCCGCCCGAAAAACCGAGGAAGGAACGGGGGAAGGAGGAAGAAAAGGGAAAAACATACGGGAAAAAAGGGAGGAGGACAAAGGGAGAGCCCCCCCGCGCTGCGGCACTCACCAGTTCCCCGAGCCGATGATGCAGACGCGGAGCGGCGACATCCTGCGGGCTGCGTCCCGCCCGCGGGCTGGGCTCGGCTCGGCTCGGCTCAGGCTCGCTCGCTCCCGGCCGGCAGCGCCGCCCCTGGCGCCCGACCCGGCCCCCGGCGGTTCGGGGGACGGGCTGCGCGGGCGGCGGCCCCGGGGCAGCGCCGGCTCCTCCCCGGCCCCGCCTGCGGCCCGGCGCCGAGCGCTGCCCTGCGAGGGGGTTCAGTGGCCTGGAAGGGGGAATGGGGAAAACGGTGCCTTCTCCGAATCGCAGGGCTAGGGGTCTGCGTGGGGAAAGCGGGGAAGCCCTGCGCTTCTTGTGGGGTGGGACCTTCCTGCCCACCGGCAGCCCCGAGGGTTTCGGTAGGGTGGGTAAGGTGGCGCAGTCTGTGGCACAGGGACAGCTGGGCTCTTCGGGACACTCAAGGTCCCACGTGCCCTGCCCCACAAAGGATCATGGTTTAAATCCTTCAGTCACATTAGGAACGCACCAAGAGAAGGCTATGAGTGCATTAGCAGAGTCAAATTCAGCTGATAAACCCTGAAATATATCACAGCTTTTAATATGGGACATCAAATATAAGTTGTCTGCAGGGAAGAACAAAAAAGGAGTGTTGGTCCTTTTCTCGTACACTGTTTAATGATGCATTACACTCTACAAATGACCATATTTTGCCTCTCAGCCCTCTCATCTAGTACACCCTGACTCTGCTTCAAAGCATCCTTTTCTCATTTTTGAACCAATTTGCCAAATTGCATTTGCCGCCTCTCCTGCTCTTGCACTCCAGCTTCCCCTCATCCTGCCATGGCAGGGTTCCTGTCCGTGCCGGGGGGCTGTAGGCTCAGCAGTGACCACATCTGCTGCCCTCACCCCAGAGTTTGGCTGAGTGGGTTCCTGGCTCTGTGGGATGTGGACACCTGACCCTGTGATTCATAGAGGGAGGCTGGCTGCCAGCACTGGAGGAGCCTGTGGGTGTTTCTGGAGGTACACATATGTTCATCTCGCCTGCTGTCAGCTCCATTGGCTCAATTATTTGGTGTGTCCTGATAGCGATGACTGTGGACTTAACAAAAAAGACTAGATAAAAATCCTGCAAAATAATATTTTGAGAAAATAACCAGGACAGGCTCATGAAAAGGAAGGTAGCTGGTACCTGGGACATGTGTGAAGCCTGATGGGGACTCTGAAAGAATATACATTACCTGCAAGCAAAGTTTGAGCACAACCAAGGCACAAGAGCCTGTCTCTGGTTCCAGGAACATTTGCTTGTTCACCATGATTTGTTTGTGACCCTTGATTCTCTTCTCCCTTTAACTCACCTTCCACTTGAGAAGAAGATCTAAAATGGAGGTGAAGAGTAGCCATCATCCTTCTTGCCCTGTTCCTCTGCTTGTTACAAGCTCTTCTGTCCTGGTGAGTCCCCAGGCCCCAAGAAGGGGACATAGTCACTGAAGCATAGGCTTCTGCAGCTAATGCTGCAGAATATGTCCCTGCTATATACAATACATAAGTATTGCAAACTGTGTAGTATTTTTTTCTAAATTAATGTGGAAGCTTTTAATTACAAAGAAAAACTGTAACAGTTTGATGGCCTTTGGACTGATTTTTGTGGCCTCCACATCATGATTACAATGACCATTTGGTGGGTGCAAATAAACTGGCAGGGGATGAGCAGGCTGATGGATCCAGCAGCACTTGTGAAGAGCAAGGGACACCACCTGGGACTGTAAGTGCACACATTAGCTTATCCATCTGTGACACTAATTGGCTGTGGAAGTACATAATTTATGCTGCTGCTGAACTCTCCTCTGGATTTGTGTGCTTACTGCTCCATGGAGATGGATAGGGAAGCATTCTCTCCCCACCCGAGGGTTTCAGGTGGTCTGCAGGCAGTTTTAGATGCCAGGTTTGGTTGTCAAGGCTGTCTCAGTGGCAGTGTTATGTGAGCCCCTGAGAAATGGGTCCTTTGTTAGATTTCAGAGCCCCGGAGCCACAGAGCACACACTGGCGGGTGCTGATGACTGTTGTTTTATCAGGCAATGGGAAGAATCTGTTCTTTCCCATGGAGGCTCCATGTTTGTTTTTCACATAAGCCAGGAGCTCTAGCTCTGACTGTGAGTCATTGGGACAATAGCTGACATAAAAGCTCAGTCACCATAAAGGGAGGCTAAAGACAACTCTCTCAAGGCCACCCCTACCCAGTATCACCTGATCTTCCACACCTAATGCCCATGATCAGAGATAACACAGCTGAACCCTCTTCCCCTGCAAACAGCAAGACCTCACCATCCATGCAGAAAAGCCAGGGCGGCAACAGGAGATTTTGCTAAGCCAGGTGTGGCTCTTCCTATGGTGGCAATGCAGTCTTTGAACATACCAAAAAAAGAGACTGAGAAGTGCCAAACTCAGTGTCCTTCTTAAGACTGGTTATAGGTTTTGCCCCCTCTTCTTCTGCTGAGAAGCTATTTGAGACCATTACTCCTCTTACAGAGAGAGCCCTTCTTCCTGTTTCAT